TTCTGCTCCAATTCGACAGGATCCAACAGGGCACATCACACCAAATGGCGGAGTAAAAGAAAACCCTTTACCATTCCTACCAGAGATCAGCTATTTCAAGTCCCATCTTTTACATTAAGTCAACATGTAACTTGTGTACAGCACTCAAGCAATAATATCCTTAGAGTCCCATCCCTGGGCATTACATTTAATGTGATGACACAAGACAGCACCCTTTCCATGGCAGAGCTCTGCAGGTGGAATGCTCTCCTCTATGAATTCTGCCTGACGTGAACTTTGTTTTCATTTCAGTGACAGTTTAAAATCTGGTTATTTACTCAAGCTTTTGGTCATCATTCAGCTCACTCTTAATTTGTAATAACCATAACTTGTGTTTTAAGAAGATTATTTATTGTTTTATTGTTTATCCACTTCTGATCTGTAGATAGGGGAACTTTTTATGTGTGTTTTAATTACAGTGGTACCTCAGGTTACATACGCTTCAGGTTACAGACTCCGCTAACCCAGAAATATTACCTTGTGTTAAGTACTTTGCTTCAGGATGAGAACAGAAATCATGCTCCAGCGGCGTGGCGGCAGCGGGAGGCCCCATCAGCTAAAGTGGTGCTTCAGGTTAAGAACAGTTTCAGGTTAAGTACAGACCTCCGGAACGAATTAAGTACTTAACCTGAGGTACCACTGTATTGGTTTTCCCCTCCTAAAATCTTTGATAGAGGGTGGGATATAAATGTTTTAGTGAATAAATAAGCTTAGCTACATGTTAATGCCCCCCCCCCCCAGTTGAGATTGCACATAGACAAAATCTGTATGTTCTAGTCAGCCCTTCCTGGGCCCTTTTAATCAAGCATAGCTGTGTCTTGATGAAAATCAATAGCATCATAAAATGTGAGCATACTCCTATCTCATAATTAGCAGGAATGTTTTGCCTGCAATGGAGAAAACCAAAGTTTGGCTCCAAAGGTAGCTGGCAGATGGTGTGAAGGCTGTGGTTTCTAGTATCCTTAAATGCATTCTCCAGCAGAAAGAAAAACAGTGATTATCAAAAAGTCAATTGTCATTCTGTGTCTTTAGAAAAATTCCCATTAAAGATAAAGCCAATTTTAATTAGATTAAGTATCCAATTACTGTAATTACATTTTTAAAAAAATTCACATCATGAGGATGACCCTTTTAAAAAGGGTTACAAGAATAATTAGTGTATTCATATTAACCAAAATGTATTGGATAATATTTATACCCAGAAGGCAAAGTACATTACACATATTTCACCTTTGGGGAAACCTTGTAAATGTTTTGGCAGTAGTATGAATATTTATAGGCAGGAATGTGCTTTAGCAAGATTATGTGAGAAAGCATTTATATCCTCACAATTTTTTACCCAAGGGTAAAGTATACATAAAATGTAGTGCAGAGATTATGGATATGCAAAGTACAATTTAAGCAGGGACAGTTTTTATCCGTTTGTTTAATTAATTGGAGCAGACTATTTTCTTTCTTTCTGTGCCCAAATGACCCACAAATCCAAGGGTGGGTCCCTTTTTTATTCAGTAGTAACCAAGCAAACAAAACTGCCAAAGGGGCAGTAAAGATATAACATACAGGCTGGGCATTAATTAGACTGGGCTAGAAGCCACGTGGCCTTAAGGCCGTCCATGGAACAGGAACCTGGTACTCCAGAGCTTGGCTTGAAGGGATGCTATGGGCCACAGCAGGCTGTTGTTATCGGCTGGGCTTCCCCGGGCCAACAGCCTAGTGCCACTAGGCCAGAGAACAGATTCTATCGCTGCAGAGGCAGGACACGCCACACAGCTGAGTGAATTGTGTATCCTGCCACCATGTATTATACCAGGAAGCAAAAACTATGCTGAACAACATAAAATGCAACTTAATCGCAGCTGCTTTGTGAGCGAAGTTTATCCTCTTGTTGTTTATACACCGGCTCAGGGTGCATACACACTGATGCACGCCAGCACCTAGAAGGTTTATCTCCAGGTGATGGGCTGACATTGTAACACAGCCTAGAATGGGAATGGCTAACCTTTGGCCCTCCAGATGCTGCTGGACTACAACTCCCATCATCCCCCAAGTATTGGCCATGCTGACTGTGGCCAATCGGAGCTGGAGTCCAACAACATTTGGAGTGCGCAGGTTAGTGTATGCTGGCCTAGAACATAGCTGAGAGAGCCAGTGAGAGAGGAGAGTGAGACTTGCCCAGAGACATTCACAAGACACAGAAGACTTCTCTGGAGCCCACACAGGTAAAGAACATACCCTGGAGAAGGAGCTCTGCTGGCCTCACCCTGGCATCTGCATGTCAGGCATGGACATCAGAAGAGGAGCTCCCTTGCCTGAGCAACTCTTCACACAAAGGGGTTCCTCTTCAGATGCCTGAAGTCAGTGCGTGGACCTCAGGGGCAGCGGTAGCATCTCACTTCTCCTACAACTGAGAGTAATGTGTGAATGCGGCTGGAGATACACTGACATATATAACAGAAGGCGGTGGAGGTTCCTATACTTTCTCAGAAAATAAGCAGTGCAGATTTATTTCATGGGGAAGAGCAGTGGGTTGGATGGAAATGAGGTATACGCCTACAGCTTTTCTGTGGATCTGCCATAGAAATGCAGACACAAGAGAATGTTTTTTTAAAAAATGTGAAGATCCCACTTATGAGTTGGCACACGATTCTTAAGTCTGGTTCTGGAAACTACATGCAAATTGGGACTATTCTTGCTAAGCAGGACATTTGCATAGTCATGGCCCTACCTCACAGAACAGGTTCAAGCTGAATATATAGGACAAGTCTTCATGGCTGGGAAGAAAGGGTGGGATCCAGACCTAGGCTGCAGTCCTAACCCTGCTTACCTCAGAGTAAGTCGGGTTACTTACATGAGTGTCATCCTGACCTGAGTTCATTTTCACACAACCCTGCTCTGGCATAGTATATGTCCATACTTAGTGTGGGTATGGAAAAGCCAACAAAATCTAATTTCAGATAAGAAATAGTTTTGATGAATTGAATGCACAATAAGAAAATGTGTCCAGAAGGGAGCCCTGTGACTTGCTGTTCTTCAGTTTTACTCCTCATTGGTACAGTATCTCAAAGTTTAATATGTGTTGTCTTATCCCAGTTTGGGAATATTTGGCAATGTTGCTAAACTACAACTCCCATCATTCCTGACCACACCCCATACTTGCTAGGGCTGATGGGAGCTGTAGTTCAGAAATACCTGGAGGGCAAAAAATCCCCCCTCCCCCCGGTCTGGTCTTATCCAAAATACATATATATGAACATTAAGGGCCATGCCATGCTACAAGCTATGCTAAATATGTTCATTTGTGACATTCTGGTTGTTCCCATCCCCAACAGAGACGTTGCCCAACCATGGATTTTGAAAGGATATGTGTTACTCTTTTTATGTGTGGAATTATACCCGTGCCTCATTCACCAACCAGCGGTGCTGCTGTCCTTTTATTTTCAAAGACAGCACTTCTGTAACTGCTGCACGGCAGAGCCAAACCCAGGCTTTGTAGGATTTTTTGCCAACATCCTCCTCCCGCTACAGCAGACCTAATATCAACCACTAAGGCATCCAGATAGAGAGAGCACAGACAAGAGAGCAGAGATGGCCCTTTTCAGCACTGTTACCACTCACTCCAGCCAATGGCTGAGCTCTTTCATAGGTGGTGCAGCAGCCAGGAGTGCTCTTTCTCAAAAGGGGTGCATCTTTCTGCTACACAGGAAAAGAGTGAGCAGGAGCAGCTTTGTGAAGCCGCCACTACCTCCCCTTGCTACCTCACATTTATATACCGCTCTCATAATATTCTTTATCTCTCTGGTGGTTTGCAATGCAAATTAAAAATTAAAAACTATGCACTTCAATAAAACAATTAAAACTAATTCTGTTTTCAGTGTGGCCAGCCATAGAAGAGTGAAATGCAAGAATTTATAAACTAATTTTGACAGCATGCTTAAGATATTTAGCTTCACCCTTAAGAGTTCAAGAGTTTAGTTCTAGGTGACCATTTTAGAATGGACTTCTAAGGTAGATGTTCAAGGAAAAGTCAGTTAAAAGGCCAAAGCTGATTTCTAGACAGATTTCCATATGTACCGAGATAAACAGGAATTGGAATACCAGAAGTCAAGGAGAAGCCTGCAAGCAGGACATGGGTGTTACAGGGCTCTCTGCAGCAAATTGCATTCACAAAGGCATACTGCATCCAACAGTAGAAGCAGAATATAGCCATCATGGGGGGGCGCTATTAGGTTGTTGTTTTTATTTTTATGCATTTTGTGGCTTTATATCTTGATTTTATTCTGTGAACTGCCCTGAGACCCCTGGGTATGGGGTAAGGTTACCAGACGTCCCCGTTTCTCAGGGACAGTCCCCAGATTTACAAATCAGTCCCCTCACAAAATCCATCTATTAAGTAGGAAGTTGAAAAGTGTCCCAGGATTCATTGGGAAAAACCTAGTAACCTTAGTATGGGGCGGTATATAAATTCAATAAATACATAAAATAAATCACAGCCACCAGCCACTGATACCTTTCTCCTCCTGCACGGACTTGCAACACAAGTCATCTACCCACGCATTCATTTAATAAGATCTATATATGTACCACTTAGAATTACAGAGTTGCAAGGGATCCCAAGGATCATTCAGTCCAATGCAGGAATACAGCTGTCCCAGGGCCAGATTTAGGTGTGATGAGGCCCTAAGCTACTGAAGGTAATGGGGCCCTTTAGATGTCCAGCTGTCCTTTGCCAGCAACAAATTGTCACTGTTTTTTGTGTTGAATATATGTTATATGGTAATTTATGGACCTAATAGGTATCTAAAGCCATTTGCACATAACAAAATATGTCTTTTATCAAAGCAATTGTTGAACTGAAATACAATTAAGAAGAAGTATATTAATAGTGAAATATGGGGGGGGGGGGCAAGAGAGTGGGGCTCCAAGCGATAGTTGTTTAGCTTATACGTAAACCCGGCACTGGCTGTCCCATACAGGGATCGAAGCTGCAGCAACCTTGGTGTTATCCGCACCGAGCTCTTACCAACTGAGCTATCCAGGCTGATTGTAAAAAATAAAATAAAAAAGCAAAAAGCAAACCTCAAAAAGTTCGCAAGAGATGGAAAACAGTTTTTAAAAAAAAGATCAACAAGAAGAACTGACGATTTCAAAGCATTCAAAAAATTAACAACAAGGATAAAGTGAAAGCAGATTAAAACATGCCTCCCTTAAATTCTGAAGTAAAATATGCAGGGCAGCAAGCGGCAGAGGCTGCTGCTCTTCTTCGCCCTTCGCCTTCCCTCCAAGTGTGGGCAGCCTGGCGTCCGCCGGCGCCTTCGGGAGAAGTGCGCATGTCCGCCACAGCCCTTCTCTTTCTCCTGTCCTCCCCCCCCCCAAGCCGGAAAACATTCCAAACGGCTTAGGGAAGCGAGCGAGGATGTGACGTAGTGCGGGAAAGGACGCCGACGTTCCGCTCCGGGCCGCGGCGGACGGGCGCGCGCTTGTGGCCAGCCATGGCGTACTCGACGTTCCGCAAGGTGGCCCTGGCCTCTTGCTTGGTGCTGTGCGTGTCGCTGCTGCTGCCCAAGGTCTTCCTTTCGCGGGGCTGGAGGCAGCCGGAGCCCAGCGCTGCGCCGCCTACTCTGGTCGCCGCGCCCGAGGGTAAGAGGCCGTCCCGAAGGCCCCGACCGCCCCGAACCCCTTCCGCCACCTGGTGCGTCAAGGGTTGCCGGACTGAGTCATGTGCATGTCAGGGTCACATCTGCACCCCCACCCCACCCCACGTAGCAGCTCCTGGAAACACAAATAGGGGGGTAATATTGGGTGGGATTGCTGTGCAAAATGCCCACGCATTAAATCGCTTTCTCGATATTACTACGCAAGATTAGAGGAAGGTGGGTGGGTGGGGAACCCCAAGGATTTGCAAACCTATGCACACACAAATGCACCCAACCCCTTTTGCAGAGTTCACCCGTGCTGTTTTTTGCACGTGCTTTTTTTTCTTTCTTGCAGGTGATTTTTTTCTTTCCCCTGCTCTTTCCGCACAGGAATTTTGGAAAGCGGGGTGGCTGGAAGCTCAGGATACATGTAGCGGGAAGGTGATCCTTGCTCATTTAATTTAGATCGGTCTTATTTGGGATGAAATGGACCATTCACTGAAGAAAGTAAATCGCAGTTCTAACTGCCTTGCCCTCGTTCGTTTTCACAACTAAGCTGTTGGGAAGTTCTGTCCGATGTGCTGAAACTGCTTAAGAAGCTGGGTGAATGGGCATTCCAAGTGTTAAATGCCATCAGAACAGACAAAGGGAAGTGCTTCTTCACACAGTGCGTGGTTAAATTACGGAATTCGCTGCTGCAAAATGTAGTGATGGTCACCAACGTGGATGGCTTTGAAAGGGGTTTAATACAAATTAATGGAGGACCATTTGTTCAATGCCTCCATTGTGCAACTGTATCATTTGCTAAGGAACACAAGTAAGGAGTGTGCTGTTGCACTCATGTCCTGTTTGAAGGCATTCCAGAGGCATTTGGTTGCCACAGTGAGAACAAGATGCTGGACTAGATGGGCCTTTGGTCTGATCCAGCAGAGCAATGAAGCTATTACTGAAGCTGCCCCTTGAGTCTAGGACTGAATAAAAAAAAAGTGTGTGAGAGAAAGACTTCACCTTTTGACTAGTTGATATCTTGATTGAAGGAGGTTCAGGTTATTGTATTCAGTGTTAGGAAACGTGCAGTTTTTTATACCTCCAGGTTTAGCTGTGGCTAGCAAAGTTAAGATTACGACTTTACCTTACCCGGCCTTTACCATTGAATTCACAGAAACTTTCTTCCAAGATGACATGCATTTTAAATTGTGTTCGTTTTTAAGCCATCCCTTGAAAGCATCAGTTTGCCAGCATCTTGTAGTCATCACATTGTTTTTGTTTTTATAAACTTCAAAATTCCATGTCCACCAATTGTTTTGATGTTTGTTACATTGCTTTGGATATTTTATATGAAATAAAATATAATTTAAACTGTCTGTATCATTTTTTTGCTGCTTTCTGCCATTTCTTTTCTTTTTTTCAATTTCTGCCAGGCTTGGGGCAGAAATGGTCACCATTTGCATTATTTTTAAAGTGTCTTTCCTAATGGATATCTGTGATTGTACATGATGACCAAGGATTTCTCATGTGCAGAAAGAATCTGCACTAGTACTGCAGTATTTCTGCAACTTCTTGCCTTCCTTAATGTGTAGCTGATCTTACTTCTGAAGGCATAACTGTACATGTGGGGTGATAAGAGCTTACCGTCCTTCCCTTATTCATTCTCACGCCATTACGTACCACCCATGTCACCTTTTAAAGTTGCACTTTTACTATAGAGCTGCAGGCAATGAATGGTAGAAGTAGCATTTCAGGTGTGTTTAAATTGCCAGAAAAGAAGTACCCCATCTCAGCTATGTTAGCCTTGCTCTCTAAACCATTCATTAAGTACTTTTAAATTGCTGCAGGAAGTGCAAAGCATTTACCGAGTTGGATTTGTTGCCACTTAGTCGCAAGTCTCACTGTGGCAGGAATCAAGCTTCTCTGTCTTTCTGGAATTCAAAGGGGGAAGTATTGGCGTGGCCATATCCCATGAAGTTTGGTGTGGATGCTCATTTTTAAACTGCAGGTTTTTTGTTACAAATTATGCTGTTTGTAACACACTCCTTTTATTCAGCTAAAGCAGGGGTTTTCAACCAGTGTGCCATGGCACCCTGGGGTGTCTGGAATGATGGTCAATGGTGCCATGGGCAACAGTGGCCTCTGTCCCTCTTTCCTTCCCTCCTTTGATGCCCTCTCATGTCTCTGCCCCTCAAAGACCTGTGCGGCTGTTTATTGCAACAACTCTGGCCACAAGCTCTACAGGCGAATGGTGCCTCTGGGGCTGGCCAGCGGGTGCTGGTTGCCCAGAGCTGAGGTGGCCTTGGAGTAAGCAAGCAAGTGGGTAACGGAGCCCAGCCAGCCCTTGCTGTTGGGAATGGACAGACAAGTGGAAGGTTGGGCAGGCAGACAGGTGCTGTGCTGGCCTTTCTCGTACTTGCTGTATGCCTGGGAGCTTAGTGCCTGGAGCCGAAGGGGAGCCTTTCCACCATGCAGGCCCAGCAACTCCTGCTGTTGCCACTGCTACCTCCCAAGGTGAGTAAGATGGTGGCTGCACATTCACCATCAGGCTGCTAAGGCTGGGGGCATCTTTTTCCCAGGTCCCTGTGGGTCGGTGTGAGGAGGCACCTCTCTTTGGGGTGGGGTGAGCGTGTCTCATGGACCAAAAGTGGCTGCAGTGGCTGCCCAGAGGACTTCCAAGGAGATGAGAGGAGGCTGAGGGAACACTCCACAAGGGCTGGTGTTCAAAAAGAGGTATAGGGCTGCTTACTCTGCAGGCAAGGGGTGACATAACTGGGCTTCTGAGGCTCAGAGCACGTTTCCCCACAGGGAAAGAGTGTAGTTGGTCAAGGGAGCTGTGGACTCAAAAGGGTTCTTGAGCTAAAGCAATGAAGATAATGTTTTTAGCATTCTTGTTTCAGTTAAGTAAACAAAGCTTCTGTCAGGCTGAATATCTCACATGATAGTATAAAAGTAGATGGATGTAGCATTCCCTAAGCATAATAAAGTAAATCCCAGTTAGGGATAAAAGTATAGAAAGTGTATCCTGTTTCATGACCAAGCATGATATATTGGCACAGGAGAAGGGAGCAGGTGGCGCTGTGGTCTAAACCACTGAACTTCTTGGGCTTGCTGATCGGAAGGCCAGCGGTTCGAATCTACACAAATGGGTGAGCTCCTGTTGCTCTGTCCCAGCTTCTGTCAACCTAGCAGTTCAAAAGCACGCCAGTGCAAGTAAATAGGTATCAATGCGGCGGGGAGGTATTTCTGTGCACTCTGACTTCTGTCAGTGTTCTATTCTGCCAGAAGCAATATAGTCATGCTGGCCACATGACCCGGAAAGCTGCCTGTGGACAAACACCAGCTCCCTCAGTCTGAAAGCTAGATGAGCGCTGCACCCCCATAGTTGCCTTTGACTGTACTTAACTGACCAGGGGTTCTTTACCTTTATCTTTTTTGGGGGGGGCGGACACAGGAACAGTAAATGCAGGGATTTTTTCCCCAGCTGGAACTTGCTGAAACTCAGTTCTGACACCTCTCTGGTGGGCATGGAGGTGGGGAATGGGGTGGGTATTGTCTAGATGGAGCAGGTCTAGATGCTTGTTTTGTCTGGCTCCCTCCTCATATAGTGGGTTAGTAACCCATCTAGTACAGCCACATGCAGCAGCCGTTTGTGTACAACTGCAATTAAAATCTTTGCACATTCCCCTGTGTATCAGAGTATTGGTGTTGAATTATGCAGGGCCACAAAATAAATGGAAGGCCAAGTTGGGAGAACTTTTACAGATCAATCATGGAATCACTGAGCACGCGGTACTTTCATAAATCTTCTTGAAGTCACAACGAGCAGAACTTTACTGATGACTGATGGGGCAGAATCAGGAGGTTCTCCTGGCAAAAAGTGACTCCTGAGCTATGGCAGGCCAGGCTCTGTAGGGCCATGGTTTTGTTGCCAGGTGTATCCAGGAAAATGGCGGTGGGGTGGGAGGGTAGACTTAGATATCTACCAAGGAACTTATATGAACCTGTCTTGGAACCCCAATGTCTTGTAGAGGCATCTGGGAAATATTCTGTAGTGTATGCAACATCATGTGGACTAGAGCATTAGCCAGACCTGTCAGGACCTCCCTGATCCCCAGTTGAACTGAAAGGTAAGGTTTAAAGCACAGTGGAAATTATCCTGCAGCTACTCATTGCAGGGGGACACTGGTAGTGGTGAGTCAGCTGTCTTAACGTGCTCGTTTGACATTCCTGGATTTTGATAAAAGCTCAGTAAGCTTCTGAGGAACCCCAAGATTTCCCTAAATTGTAGTTCATCAGTGGTTAAGGAATAAGTATATACACTGTAGTGCCTTAAATGTCAGGTGACTTTTCTGCAGCCCCCATATAGTTTTGAATTACAGTGTCTGTCAAAATCTGCATAAAATAGAATACAAACTGGTGTGGTTCATTCTGGCAAGGTATGCATGTCAACTTAGCTGGCAGTGTTCCATCTTGGCAAACTTTGGTGCCATAGCAACCTCCCATTATTTTTGATTAATCTCTTTTAGCTTGAGGTCGCATTCACCCTCCAGGAGCGGCATACAAGTGGTGAAGTTTGCCCAAAGTGCACCACCACACACTGTCAGAGACACACAGCTCCCCCTCCTTAGTTGATTTGTGGAGATCAGTTGAGAAAGGGGCTATTGCTCCCCCTCCACCCATCAAATGACAGTTTGCATCCCCATAAAGACATTGGGCTCTGCTATCCTGTCCCTGCCCCAGACTGTGGCTACTTTTTCTTTTTGCCGCTGCCACCAAAATTGATGGGTTCCTGAGGCAGGCCTAAGAAGCTGGATTAGTTCCTCAAACCGGTTGTTTAGGTGTTCCCACTTTGTGCCTTTCAACATACATTGTTATCCAGTACTCATTCAATTGGATTCTTGACAGTAATTAATATGTCAATTACCATATGTTAAAATTGCCGTATGGTTTCTGATGATGGGGACTTATTGATAGAAATGTCAAACAGTCATTGTTATATGTGCAATCTCGTGTGAAAAAATAGGGGTGTATGAACACCTTATTAAGGACTCCTCTATGAAGTTTACTATACAGCGGAAAGGAGCAGCCAAGCATACTAGGACTCAATTTCTTGACTTTAAGAAAGCCGACTTCATAAAACTTAGGGAAGTGCTGGGTGAGATCCCATGGACAGTAATACTAAAAGGAAAGGGAGTTCATGATGGCTGGGAGTTTGTTAAGAGGGAGATAGTAAAAGCACAACTTCAGGCCATACCAATGAGACGGAAACATGGAAGGTGCCTAAAGAAGCCAGGGTGGCTATCTAAAGAACTTTTAACTGAGTTAAGATTAAAAAAGGATGTGTACAAAAAATGGAAAAGGGGGGAAACCACCAAAGAGGAATTCAAACAAATAGCCAGCACGTGTAGACACAAAGTCAGAAAAGCTAAAGCACAGAATGAACTCAGGCTTGCTAGAGAGGTTAAAAGCAACAAAAAAGGCTTTTATGGGTATGTTCAGTAGCAAAAGGAAGAACAAAGAAACAGTGGGGTCACTCAGAGGAGAAGATGGTGAAATGCAAACAGGGGACACAGAAAGGGCTGAACTCCTCAATGCCTTCTTTGCCTCAGTCTTCTCCGATAAAGAAAACAATGCCCGACCTGAAGAATTTGGAGCAAATGATTCAGCAGAGGAAACACAGCCCAGAATAACTAAAGAGATTGTACAAGAATACTTGGCTAGTCTAGATGTATTCAAGTCTCCAGGGCCAGATGAACTGCATCCAAGAGTATTAAAAGAACTGGCAGATGTGATCTCAGAACCACTGGCAGTCATCTTTGAGAATTCCTGGAGAACAGGCGAAGTCCCAGCAGACTGGAGGAGGGCAAATGTTGTCCCTATTTTCAAAAAGGGGAAAAGAGAGGACCCAAATAATTACTGCCCAGTCAGTCTGACATTAATACCAGGGAAGATTCTGGAGCAGATCATTGAGCAAACAGTCTGTGAGCACCTAGAAAGGAATGCTGTGATCACCAATAGTCAGCATGGATTTCTGAAAAATAAGTCATGTCAGACTAACCTGATCTCGTTTTTTGACAGAATTACAAGCCTGGTAGATGAAGGGAATGCAGTGGATGTAGCCTACCTTGATTTCAGCAAGGCATTTGACAAGGTGCCCCATGATATTCTTGTAAAGAAGCTGGTAAAATGCGGTCTTGACTATGCTACCACTCAGTGGATTTGTAACTGGCTGACTGACCGAACCCAAAGGGTGCTCATCAATGGTTCCTCTTCATCCTGGAGAAGAGTGACTAGTGGGGTGCCACAGGGTTCTGTCTTGGGCCCGGTCTTATTCAACATCTTTATCAACGACTTGGATGATGGACTCAAGGGCATCCTGATCAAATTTGCAGATGACACCAAACTGGGAGGGGTGGCTAACACCCCAGAGGACAGGATCACACTTCAAAACGACCTTGACAGATTAGAGAACTGGGCCAAAACAAACAAGATGAATTTTAACAGGGAGAAATGTAAAGTATTGCACTTGGGCAAAAAAATGAGAGGCACAAATACAAGATGGGTGACACCTGGCTTGAGAGCAGTACATGTGAAAAGGATCTAGGAGTCTTGGTTGACCACAAACTTGACATGAGCCAACAGTGTGACGTGGCAGCTAAAAAGCCAATGCAATTCTGGGCTGCATCAATAGGAGTATAGCATCTAGATCAAGGGAAGTAATAGTGCCACTGTATTCTGCTCTGGTCAGACCTCACCTGGAGTACTGTGTCCAGTTCTGGGCACCACAGTTCAAGAAGGACACTGACAAACTGGAACGTGTCCAGAGGAGGGCAACCAAAATGGTCAAAGGCCTGGAAACGATGCCTTATGAGGAACGGCTAAGGGAGCTGGGCATGTTTAGCCTGCAGAAGAGGAGGTTAAGGGGTGATATGATAGCCATGTTCAAATATATAAAAGGATGTCACATAGAGGAGGGAGAAAGGTTGTTTTCTGCTGCTCCAGAGAAGTGGACACGGAGCAATGGATCCAAACTACAAGAAAGAAGATTCCACCTAAACATTAGGAAGAGCTTCCTGACAGTAAGAGCTGTTCGACAGTGGAATTTGCTGCCAAGGAGTGTGGTGGAGTCTCCTTCTTTGGAGGTCTTTAAGCAGAGGCTTGACAACCATATGTCAGGAGTGCTCTGATGGTGTTTCCTGCTTGGCAGGGGGTTGGACTCGATGGCCCTTGTGGTCTCTTCCAACTCTATGATTCTATGATTCTATGATTCTATACAGCTGCAAATAGAACATTTTAAGTCTGTTGTAAAGTGCATTATACAAATGTGACACTAGATGGCGATGGCAAGCTATGGCAAATTCGATACATGTTTCAAAGCATTTTTTTAAAAGGCATTTTCATAGCGTTTTTTATATGTGTCTAGATTCCACCTAAGATTCATATTCAGAGGATAGAACAGGACTTAAAACACAACACATCCCTTTAAGAATGGATCTTTTTAACCTTGATTTTCAGGAAAGACCAGTCAGTTTCCTCCAACAATGCATCCCCAGATGTCTCCAGAAACCAGACCACCCACTACCCATTTCCCAAGGTCTCATCTTGCGGAAGCAGTTGCAAAGGCCAAGGGTGGAGGTGGAGGCGGCGGTGGAGGTGGAGGAGGTGGCGGCGGCAGTGGAAGAGGTCTTGTGGGACAAGTCATCCCAATATATGGATTTGGGATCCTTTTATACATATTGTACATTCTTTTTAAGGTAAGAAATACCACTTCACCCTTAAAGTTGCATCAGTACAGTTTCTTAACCAGTGAGTCATTGACCTAGTTCACATGTCATGGTAAATCTAAGGGCTCTTTTGCTTCTCTCCACTAGTATTGGGTGAAACGAATACTTAGTTCATATGGTCACATGCCGGAGGAGAAGATCAAGAGCTTCTGTTTTGAAACTAACTGTATTTACCTGTAATGATCAAACTTGTTAGTGGTTCTTTTGAAAACCAACCAAAAAACCCTCTACTTAGTGAGCATAAACGAAAAGCAAACTGTGGTTTCTGATCCTGATAGATTCAGCAACTAGAGTTTGAACAAAATCGTAATTCCTCAAGTTAGGACTTCATAGGGAACTTTGGTTGGTTTAAAATTGAAAGCGGAAGCTTTCAGACCTGGCATGCAAAGGGGGAGTGTGGCGGTAGAGTGAGCCATGGCTTGCCTCAACTCATTTCATAACTTTGGTTTCCTTTTATGTTTTAGCTGAGGCTGTTAATGTCTTTCTAGAAACACCTATGTCTCTTCTGTCACAACAATAACCCTTTCCAATTAATAGCTTTCTTCTAAGGGGAAAACCACAACAGTTGAGCGGAAATGTCCTCCGTCGTCATCTGGAAATACAAACAGGAAAATCAGTAAGTAGCATTTCCAAGACTGAATTGAAATGGCATCCAAAATTGGCTCTCACTTGGAAAATAAATCTAGCAGCACGATAGATGAGGCAATGTGATTATTATTACTACTACAGTGGTGCCTCGCAAGACGAAAAGAATCCATTCTGGGAGTCTCTTCGTCTAACGGTTTTTTCGTCTTGCGAAGCAAGCCCATTGACGGATTAGCGGATTAGCGCTATTAGTGCTATTAGCGGCTTTTAGCGGCTTTTAGCGGCTTTTAGCAGCTTATCAGCTTATCAGATAAGCAGATAAGCGGCTTAGCGACTTAGAAAAAGAGGAGGAAAAGGGAAAAAAAAACCCAGGAACTCGCAAGACATTTTCATCTTGCGAAGCAAGCCCATAGCAGATTCGTTTTGCGAGGCACCTCCAAAACGGAAAACTCTTTCGTCTAGCGAGTTTTCCGTCTTGCGAGGCATTCGTCTTGCGGGGCACCACTGTACTAGTAGTGAGTGATAGTCAGTGTTTGTCACACTGAGTAAACCCATTGAAATCAGTGGGATGAAATCCATGGGGAGAAACTGGATATCACCCATTGAGTTTGTTACTTTTGACACAGTTGGATTTTGTGTGTATGCAGAAGTAAATCCCACTGTTGTTAAATTGAGCTTACCCCACATAAACTATGCATAGAGTTGCAGCCTTGATCTCCTTCTTCGCAACAAAAATAATTGTTAGCTTTCCTTTTATTCTGAACATCCCTTATGTCATTAGACTGTGTGGTTTTCTGTGTCGTAGCCTTTCCTGTCTTGAGGCATTTACAATCAGCCAGTCACTCTGCATGTAGCTGCTTATGAGCAATTGGGTGCATTATATATGCTTCTCCTAGCCTTAGGGAAATTTTCTTTTTCCTTTCATTCTGCCTGGGAAGAATAAAAAGATTATTTTCATTAGTTCTGTTTACCGGTAAAGCCCTCTTAGTCGCCTCTCATGGTTCCCTCGGAACAAGTTCCATTTTGTTTGCTGCACATTCAGAACAAATACATGCTGATTGAATGGAGTGAATTGTCAGAGCTGCCGCTGATGCCTTCTGGGACCACATTTATTTTGCAGCTGACTATGAGCTTGCCCAACTTCAAGATAAGCTGAGAGAGACTGAAGAAGCCATGGAGAAATTAATCAATAGAGTGGGACCCAACTGTGAAAGGTATGTGGCAGTGACTCTTGTTCCGGCAGATTAAAAAGGGCGGGTTCTTTTTGTATTTCTCTGTTCCCAATAAAGCAAATTAGAACATTTCAAATAAAAATATGCTGTCAAATAAAAAACTGCATCTCTTAAACATCTTATAATTTGGAGGTACTTTTACTCAACTCTTTCCTCTTCCAGTTCTATGTTAAACTAAATTCAGCATTTTGAATTAAACTAAAAGAAATATGGATGCACGTGATTTCTGGTGTGGTGTTTCACTAGCTTTGTAGCTTCATAAATCCATTAAACACAGAGGGTGATACTCCTGTGTAGACCCATTTAAAACAATGGCTCTCCAAGTCCATTCATTTCAATGGGCCTAATCTGAATATGATTTAGTTGGATGTCACCCAGAGATTGTAAAGAGATGACGTCAACTCTGTTACAATGTTCTGCATAAATGGATTGATGCCTTCTTAACCTCTATAAATTCCATTATGGAATTTCAGAAGGAATGCCAATATTTATAACTTCCGGCAGTATTCCATTTGTTCACAGTAGATGGGAAATGAAAAAGAGGGTGGCTTGATGGGTTAAGTAAGAAAAGAAAAAATATCCCAGATCAGGCAATAAATAGGCACTTTTGTATGGTCTATAATTAAGTTATTTGTCTGAGTACTGTTTGTTTGAACTACCCTTACTACCTACTAGATTAAGAATATTTATAAATGCAGAACTAAAGATACTCACTCTTCGCAGTCTTTGCCAAGCTGATGAGAATGGCCTATTTGCTACCCTTCACTACAGATCATATTAATCTGTAGCCTATCTTCCAGCTGCCTGCTCATCTGATGGCAGATCGCAAGGCTCTTTTTCTTATGCTTGGCATCCAAAAGCATAGGTGCATATTTATCCCAAAATAAGTCCCACTGGATTCAGCAGGTCTTGCTTTCAAGTAAGTGTGTTTAGTATTGCCGCCTAAAGCTAAGTCTCCAATCAGTTTGACACAAGAGACTGACCAAGGGGAAGGATGTAGCTCAGTGGTAGAGCATCTGCCTGGCATGCAGAAGGTCACAGGTTCAGTCCCCAGCGTGTCTGGGTGAGAGATTACAGTGTGAAAGTCTGGAGAGACCTGCTGCCATCGCTATAGACAAAACTGAAGGTAGATGGACCAATGGGCATAAAAACATTATGCTCCTGGTCTGATTCAGCATAAGACATCTTCCTGTGTTTTAGAATGGAACGGTGGACCATAAGCACACATGCAGACAGGTTTCCTCTACTATTTGATTCTTCATAGATAAGGTTGCTGAAGTTATCTATGGAAAATTCAGCTAAAACAGTGGAGTTCTGAGTGAAATGGTACCGGTAAAACATTTCAGATGGCTTCTGTGTGGCATACAGTGAACAGAACACATGAAGGCAAATTGTGAGCCACGCTGCACTGTGTTTGCCTCTTGCCAGTGTTGGATGCCCTAGTTAGGAGCCTGGTCACTGATAGAGAAACTATAACAGTAATAAAGTCTGGGATTAGAGTTGCCATTGGCCATTAAACGTCACTCAAAGCAAAGCAGATTTTTGAAGGAATGTTGCTCAGGAGACCAGCAATGTTTCTCTAGGCAAAGCAGTTCTGCAGATTCCTAAACAATCCAGCTTCGTAAGATTCGCCCTTAGGCCAGAGCCACGACACTGTGTATCTTTCCTTTTATTTAGAGGCATCTTACTTTGCTAGTCTTGCTGCTTTCTAATGACATGATATGGAAAGGCATCGTCACAATATCTTGCTATTCCTGTGAGGTAAAGTCTCTCTCATTAGGCAACCCAGTACCCATAGCAAAGACAAAGTGGCTTTGATTTTTTTCCCTGCCTGTCTGGAGGTGACAGTCTTTCAAAAGGCACACGTTAGTTTGATAACCGTCAGGGTTGTCAGAGGAGACACTATCTTGAAAGCTGAAGAAATTCAATAGGGGTTCAATTCCTGCTTAGGTATGTTTACTTGGAGAAAAGTAGGTGGAGAAGGGAGGGAGACCCGCAAAAGCTATGACAAATGGAAAAAGAAATATATTTCCTAGAGACTGATGTGCCTCATTAAGGGTCGTGTTGGTTCTAAAAAATAATGAGAGAAAATCCCTACTGGTTTTTAATAAAAGGACCAGAGGCCTTATGCGTAATTGTTTCAACCAAGTTGCTACTGTACTATTCCTTTTACTGTTTTAAAGATGAGACCTAGAAAACTCAGGGTGCTTCCAAACTACTGCTAATTTTTTTTGATGATTTCAGTGATATACTGGCAAATTTAGGTTTCAGACAATTAAAGTCAATCTGGCACTCTTTTGCAACAAACCTGCTCTCCCTCCAGGCCCATTTTGCTGTAAGGAAATAGTAATAAATAATAATAATAATAATAATAATAATAATAATAATAATAATTTATTTGCCCTTCATCCAAAGAACTCAGGGAGGTTCACAAGATAAAATCAAAGAGATAGCACAAAATGAATAGATAAAACAAAACAGAACAATAACCCCCTTCCTGCAATCACATTAAAAAGGCCATAGAACATTAAACAGCCAGAGGCCTGGTTGAAGAGGGAATGCATTGGAAAGTGTGGGGTAACAATTGCTTGTTGCATTGTCACAGAACCCGCGAGCAATCAAATGGGAATAGATGCTCCATAGAGAGCCAATGTTGTCTTGCCTCCCTGCAAATTTTGTGCAAACCAATTGGGATGATTGCTCCATAACCGGCCAGCTGGAAGTGACCTCTCAACAGATACAGAAGAACTATTGGGTTGCAGAGTCCAGCTCACTTTGATGCATGCGTTTTATTTATTTGGTTAGAATGCCGGTTGTGAGCTGACAGGAGCAGTCGTCTAAAATACCTGGAGGGCACCAGGTTGATAAAGGCTTTCACAAGCAATAGGTTGGATCTTTACAAATTTGTAAGATCAGAACCAGGCATTCTCCCCCCCCCCCCCCGCCCCCTTCCATAGCTGTCTGACGGCCCCTTTTCTTAACTTAGGAGAAAAAATATAAGTAATTTGAATGCTTTCCTCTTTCTGTGATATTTAATCAGCATGGGATAAAATGATGATAAAAATTATGAGCCACTTGATCTTTCTCAAATAGTTGAAAATAACACAAAAGGTCACTGTTTCCATCTATTTCCTAGTCACTAATACTGTTCATCTATTATATATATAAAGCTCTCTGTGTTATTATTGCGCAGCGGCAAGAATTTAAAACAAATGGCCAAATGGTATTTTGATGGTCTTAGGGCATGGTTTGGAAGCACCAAAGGCCCCCAACTTGCTGAAGCTAAGCAGGACTGGGAACCGCATGTCTGGGTTGGGTTCCATGGTGGAAGAAAGGTGGGATATAAATAAAATAAAATAAAATTTAAAAGAGAGAAATAGGGATTCAGACAAAGATTTAATCAGTTACTTCATTTTTCTTTCTTTCTTTCTCCTTTTTTCCAGTTTCTTTGTTTTTTGAAAAAATAAAGGGTTTTTTAAAAAAAATTATGATTTTCAGGTTTATACATTTCACTAATTTTACAATCATTTTAACATTTCAAAACTTGACTTCCTTCCCCCTCTTTCTGTGGTTCCTTAAATTTATTTTTAATATCTTCTGCATATCCAAATTAACTTAATTTGCTCATTAATTCATCTACTTTAAATATATACTCTTATAAAACTGAAGGTTTACACTTTATCTGTAAATATTCAATAAACCATTTCCATTCTTTTATTAAAACATTTGTTATCATGATTTCTTATTCTTCCGGTAAGTTTTGCCATTTCTTCATATTCCATAAGTTTTTGTATCCATTCTTCCTTCGCTGGGACTTCTGCTTCTCTCCATTTTGGGGCAAGTAACATTCTTGCCACTGTAGTAGTATACATCAATACGTTTCTGTACTGTACAATACGTTTCTAAGCTCTGGAGCCAAGTGAGGATTCCCAGGTAAGATCCTCCCTCTATTGTGTGGGCAGGTAATCCCTCCCCTACCTGGCCTGGTCTCCTTGGCAACGCTTCCCCCAGGTGGGATTGGACAACTGACTGAGGTAGGCGGAGACCTCCAGGTATCCCACCTGAGGGAAAGCAAACCAAGCCTATGCTGTTGGAGCCGCTCCAGATCTAGGGGCTGCGCGCGTCCACGCAAAGGGCGCCCCCCGTTTTAAGCGGAGAGCGGTCATTCTGTACAGTTTAGGTAGTTCTGTCCCTATAATTCCCAAAAGAAATCAGTTACTTCAGGTCAACATGTGAAGTGTAGCCACCTGCTTTCTTGGTACCTTTTCTTCCCCAGCTCCCTTGCATCTGTACACTTTCATTTCACCCACAAAAGCTGTGATGTTAGTTGGCATTCCACAACTGTGCCTGAAGGCGGAGTGATTTAAATTATTGATTTATAAATTATGTAAATCAGCCAGAAAAAATGCCATTTTAAATCACCAATAGTATCTCATTGATGCTACTTCATTTATTTTCTAAATAATGGTGTGAATCATATTAATTGGCAACAAAGTAGAATATTATTTACACTGTTTCAATCTTACAACTAGGTCTTTCATCTCCTTGTATGCTGTCCTTTTTAAAAAAACCTATAGAGTGAATGCCTTTAAAATAAGGCCTTTTTATGATTCCCCGTGGCAGTTGGTGAGGTTAAGTATGGGACTATATAGCAGTCTTTTTTATTTGACATTGGGATACAGGTATCTTAATTGGCTTGCACGGTTGCTCTTTTCATGCTTGTTCACTAGGACAGAGAACCATTCCTCTAAAACTTATTTGGATATTGCCAGTCATGTCCAATAGTAGGTCTGAGCTGTTGTCGTGGGGTTTTTTAATGCCTGTTCCATGTTGTTGTTTAGTCATTTAGTCGTGTCCAACTCTTCGTGACCCCATGGACCAGAGCACGCCAGGCACTCCTGTCTTCCACTGCCTCCCGCAGTTTGGTCAAACTCATGTTCGTAGCTTCGAGAACACTATCCAACCATCTCGTCCTCTGTCGTCCCCTTCTCCTTGTGCCCTCCATCATTCCCAACATCAGGGTCTTTTCCAGGGAGTCTTCTCTTCTCATGAGGTGGCCAAAGTATTGGAGCCTCAGCTTCAGGATCTGTCCTTCCAGTGAGCACTCAGGGCTGATTTCCTTAAGAATGGATGCATTTGATCTTCTTGCAGTCCATGGGACTCTCAAGAGTCTCCTCCAGCACCATAATTCAAAAGCATCCATTCTGTTCCATAGTCGGCCCCAAAACGTCACGACTGATCAAGAGAAAAGGCTACTTCAGCAGCTCCGAGAAATTACGAAGGTCATGAAAGAAGGCAAACTCATAGATGGGATCTCCCCAGAGAAAGAAGCTGAAGAGGCTCCGTATATGCAGGACTGGGAAGGTAAGGAAGACCTTTCTATTTATATGAAGGAAGAATGAATGTGCTGCTGTTTGTTTTTGCTTTTCCTTTAAAAGAAAAGCTTATCACAGGAAGCCATTCAGTATTCAAAGGCATCTGAGCACCTGGCTCTCTCAACAAGAGAGAATCCATTGATTGCTTAAGCATCTCAGACTAGCCAGCTGAGGGCTTATAGCACTATGCTACAAAGCTGAGGGACAGGAGGGCTCCTTGGTAATATCTAGGGATGGGGGGAGAAACTTTATTCCTTTTGTATTTAAAGGCAAACCTACCTGATTTGCCCTTACCAAAACAATACACGAACTGTAACATCACTTCCTTTGACATCCACACTTCTCTGAATTTTGCAATGGAGTTCTCTAGACAAGTAAATGTGAACAAAAATGCATATGCTAGGTAGGCTGCCACTTACATAAAAATGCATATAGTGGTGAACGTAACATACAGAAATGCGTAATATTTGTGGGGAACTGCTTTGCAAAAAAGTGTGTATCGGGCAAAATTCAATACAAGAAATGTGCATGTTAGGATAATTTCGGACTCAAGGGCTGATTTAAATAAATAAATAAATAAAATCACATACCGATGGGAAATTGTGGAGACCTGAATTTAAGACTGGGAAAATGAAAACTGAACGAAATCAAAATTGCCATTTTCACACATCCTGAGCTAACATCTGAGGCAGTTGTTCAGATTAAGAGTAGCTCCCCCAGTCTACATAGGGAGGAATACCGTGTCCTGAGTTGGGCATCTTTAAAAAGAATCTTATTGCCACTCCACTGTCTTTCTGCAGATGGATCAGTATCGTTCTTTTTATCTCTACCAGTCTGTGCTTCATTTGGTGGTGCACAGGTGAAAGGCAGGTGGTTTCTACCGTGGAGGTAGAAGCAGGTGGTTTTTGTGACCCACCAACTCTCTTACAGGAATTGATCCAGGGGTTGAGAGAAGCTGCTCAGATTTGACCTCTGTTAATAGCTGTGTTGGTGAAGCACAGTTAATGGCAGGGAGAGGGGATTTGCTCTAGGAAGGCAGTGTGCAATCGAAGAACTAAATCCCAATTTGTTAATCCTGGTTAGCAAGGAGCCATTAGTATGTCTAGACCAGTCCCGTATGGATGCAGGACAGATCTCATTCTAAAACACATAAGCAATTGATGACATTTCAGCCACTAGATGATCTCTTCTGGCTGCAACCTCAAATCAAGCACACTGATTTGAAAGTGCCACTGAAATCAGTGTCACTTCCTACAGGAATTCAGGTGTTTGTATGGCTGAACAGATCCAGTAATATCATGAGCAAGGTGCCTGGCATGATTGTTCCATCTAAGACGAGTTTATTTTATGTCCTAAGGTTATCCAGAGGAGACCTATCCTGTCTATGATAACTCTGATTGCGTCAAGCGCAGACAGGACACAATCCTTGTGGATTACCCTGACCCCACCCAGCCTTCAGCTGAAGAGATAGCAGAGAGAATGGCGTTTGTGGACGATGAGGAGTGTTTATGTAGTGAAACCGTTTTGTCTGCTCTCGCTATAGTGAACAGTGACCCTGCAGCAGCCTACGAGACGGAGGGCCAGCACGCCACGCTCAGCGACCAGAGTGGCGCTGGCCATGACCCTGAGAAGTGCTACTGCTGCCACTTCGAAGAGGACGACCCTGCTGTGATAGCGGAGAACGAGGGCTTCTACCCCGAAAGCTGCGGTGAAATGGAAGATGCCACGGCCCAGGAGGAGCTGCTGCTAAATTCCAACCTCGAAAATGCAGATCCCCAAGAGCAGAACGAGGGAAGTCCAGATGAAATGGGCATTCTGAGGAAGCGAAACACGAAGGGCATAGCGTTGCTGGGACACTGAGGATCAAACGCGGAAGGCTATCTCCCCTTCTAGAAACTGGGCTAAACTGCTGCTTGCAAGACAAAGGCTTGTCTCCGTTGTTGCGTACCCAGCTGCTGCATCTCTTTTGCATTTGCTGCTTATTTGGATGGAAAATGAGTAGCCCCCCACTAGTTCATCAGCCTGGCCACTTCAGCATCAACTGCCTTGGAATCATAGAATCATCGTTGGAAAGGACCCCAAGGATCATCTAGTCCAACCCCCCGCAATGCAGTTAACTCAACCAAAGCAACCATTACAGATGGCCTCCAACCTCTGCTTTAGAGCCTCCAAGGAAGGAGAGTCTGCTGAGAGAGTCCATCCTACTGTTGAACAGCTCTCACCGCCAGAAAGTTCTTAGTCGAAATCTCCTTTCTAGTAACTTGAAGCCATTGGTTCGGGTCCTACCCTCCAGAGCAGGGGAAAACAAGCTTGCTCCATCTTCCGTGTGACAGCCCTTTAGATATTTGAAGATGGCTATCATGCGTATCTCCTCTTATTCAAGCTAAGCATACCCGACTCCCTCAATTGTTCCTCAGAAGGCTTGGTTTCCAGTCCTTTGCTTGCTATAGCCTCCCAAGGCGTCTAAATCAAGATAGCTTCCCATTGTGCCTTCTTTCAGCCTCTCCTCCTGTATAAAGTAATCCAGTAGGGAATTTTCCCACTGTACTTCTAACACCTTCACCAATGTTAACCACTCGTCAGGTTGAGGCAGCCTGTTTTAGATACCCTTAAAAGGATAGCAGATAATCAGTTTTTATATTTGATTATCATATTTGATTTGCGTAAAGTAGTTGGCGTTTTATTTTATTTTTTGCCTCTGTCTTGGGTGGTCTCTTGTTGCAGACCAAAATCCTTCATGCTCTTGTAATGAGGAAATCATAAGGTGAAAGGGGTGTCTTAATGTCATTCCTTACGTGCAAGTGTTAGTTGATTTTCTTGGCTGATAAGCACAAGGAATTTCTGGGAAATTTAGGGGCAAATCTTAATACCGCCCACTGCCTAGCAGGACTCAGTGGAGATAGGGGGCCAGTGGGGGAGGCAAGCAGATGGCTGTGCCAGCCTGGAGCTGGCACAGTGATGAGGCACTGATCTGGCATGATGCTGCTATCTGACAAACATGGTGCCAGCTCTGGTTCCAACTGATCCCAGGCTGGCCCAGCCCCTTTGCCCCTGGAATGCCCCATTGCAGAGCCTTCCACTGGCTGTTGCTGCTGGGGATTCCACCAGTGGCACTTCTGCCTGCCAAGATCTTTGGCAGTCAGAAGGGTGGTGTCTGTATTGATGGAGTGATGCTTGCAACCAAGTTGGCAGAGACAGGTGGGAGGCTTACTTAAGTGATAGAGGTGGGTGGAGGGACGCTTCTGCCCAATCCAACCCTTCCCCCCAGCCTGGCGCAAGGGTGTGTGGGTGTGTGCCAAATTATCTCTTTTTTGTTGTATCAACAAAGAACAGGGTTTCCTTTTGTAGGTCACTTGTGGAATGAGCAATCCATTTCACCTCGCCTGTGGCTCAAGATGGCAGCCCTTCCTGTGGCTCAAGGCTAACTTACCACATGATTCCACATGAACTTCAAGGCCAACTTTTTCAAAATGCACTCACAGTTAAAGTGTGCAACCAAAACACAAGGGCATGATTTTTGGAGGAGAGCAAAACAGATGACCAATATGCGTCATTTGACAGATGAATTAACAGCATCTTCAGAAAACCTGCTTCACTTGCCCAATGAAATCGCAGAAAGAAAGGGATTTCCAGGGATCAAAGCAAAGAGATGAAGATGCCAAGCGGCATAACACTCCTTCTCTAAGGCCTAAAAGTACATGAGTAGTTTGTCTCCCTATTTTTCTTTTTCTACTAAAGGTTTTATAATTTCTTTTAATGTTGCAATTATTTATGAAAGCACTATTTATTTATTCATTTATGCAAGTATTTATATAGCTAAATATCACAACAATCTGAATACAATAAAACACAACTATAAGCTGTACAAAATAACCACTTAAATGACTGGTCAATCGATAACACTTAAAAAAAAACAATGGGGAAAAACCCTGCATATGCTTGTTGGCATACAGGGGTTGTTTTGAGGGCTCTTTTTCCTTACAAGAATTTGGGTTTAGAAGAGATGCTGAAAGCATAAGAAGGATCACTTTCTCCCATGTCAGCTTTTCATAGCGCAATCCCATGCAGGTTTACTGAGAAGCAGCAGTGGCTTGAAGGAAGTGGGAAGGGGGCACAGTGGTGGCACTGCAGTCATTGGGATGAGGCAGGACAAGGTGGTGATGGGGCTGGGGAGTTCCAGCGGGGCACAGTTGCACATATACTTAAGGGGCCATTGCCACTAACCTTGTCATGGTCACCCTGCTTCATCCCAGTGAGTTCACTGCTGCCAAGAGTAGACCACTCCCTTGGCCTACTCGCCTGCAATGGACCACTGCTCAGCTCCAGGGTTTGCTCCCAGGAAATTGTGGTTAGTATTGTAGGCAATCGGGTGCAGTCCTGTGTATTGTCTGCTCAGGAGTAAGTGCCAGTGAATTGAGTGAGACTCAACTCCGAAGAAATGTGTATAGGATTGTGGCCTTAGAGTGGAATTCCGTGTTGTGCTTTTACAACCATCTGTGCAAGCACATCAGCTTATAAGAAGGAGTGATCTCTTCCTCCTTCCCCATGAGCTGTTCTGGGGATTCCCACAAGAAGCCAGTTTCAGGGAGTGCAGGGGAAGGAAAGGGGAGAAGGCCCAGTTGTGCAAGTGAAAGTTCATTAGATGAATCCTGTCCCATGTATGTAACATAGTAGGCAGACCGTCCATTGAAACATCATGCAGATGTAGCTATCCAGTAGATTGCTAGGAACTTCTCGAGAAGGTGACTCCATAGAGCCATTATTGCTAATTCAAAGTGTGGTTGTATTGTAGGGTACATGGAGAACGTCAACAGCTGCACTTATAAAATGGGAGGGATGTAGGGAGGGTTAATTTTGGTTGGGTTTTCATTGCTGCCTACCTATTCTGCAGCAGGAAAGATTTATGTGTATGTTGTCTTACGTTTGTGGCTTCTGCTGCTAGAAAGCCTGCCTTTTGGCAACTGTCCTGCTTAAATAACTAGGGGCTGAAATGTCAGATATGCCTGGCCAGCAGAAATGCTTCTGTATTATAAGTTTCTGTTCCAGGAATAAGGGACTTTGGTCATTCCAGTTCTCCATGCCTTTAGCAAAGATCTGCTTTAGCGAAGTTGATAATCAGTTCAGCACCATTTCGTGGCCCATGTTGGACATTACAGAAACCTGCTTTGAAAATAGTTTGCAGCACTAAGTGAATGGAAAATACCAGAGGAAATTTTGTAAGCATATTTCTCTTTTGCATCCATATTTATTTTTAAATTTGTTTATCTGTCTGAGTAAAATGAGGAACAACATTCCAGTAAAGATTTCGTGTGTGCGTCATGTGTGTGTTCTCTGGAACAAGCAATGTGACTTTCAAAAAGAATGGCAGACAGTTGCGTTTCCCATTTTCAGGCTGAGTGAGAAAAGACCATTCTGCTTACCGTGAATGGAATTTCTGGATTTCATAGAAACTGCTACCATAGAGGGGGCTATGCTCCCTTTCCAGCAGCCAATTGGCAACGTTGCAAGTTCAAAACAGGTAACTAGGAAATACATACTTGGCTCTACCCTGCCCTGAAGGGAATCAGTTTTTTTTAAATGCCAAGCCCCAAAGTGGAGACAGCTACTAAAACTACATTACTATAGAACAATGAGTAAACTAACCTTTGCTTGAAACGGAGGCTCACTGGCAGAGGGAAGAACAGAATAACTTTACAGAGGATCGGTAGAATTTGTTCTGGGTAGTTCAGAGGCAGCCAGATTAAGCCCAGGTGGGGCTGGTGGCTGTTTCTACAAGATCCAGAAATCCCATTCGTGATATGTAGAACGGTCTTCTCTTGAGATTTCCTGGTAGGAGCTGCCACCATAGAGACGTACCAGAGCTTACAGACCCTTTAAGGGTGGGATCAGTGTGTTGCTGCTACTGAGAACTGTAGCGTTCTCCTACCAAAGGCTGCCTCAGCCGAGGTGGATGGAGGGGTGCTCTACATGTTTTGTGTAGGGCAGCACTGATCCTGATCAGAGGAGTCAGGTTATGAGATGGGTATGCCAGTGAGATGCAACCTCTTAGCCATCAAACCAGGGTGGCGGACGTGGCTTTCTTACCAAGAGAGAGTGGATGAAAGCAGATGGACAGAGAGAACATTTGATGACTAGATCTTCAGTGGTCTGTGGACATCCTGGAAAGACAGCACTACCCCTTCTTTGGTGGCAGTTACTACCAGGAGATCCAGAGAATGTGGTTCCACCTTTTCTTTCTGGATTTTGAACAGCCACCTTTCTTGCAGAAATTTCACAGTCGAATCCTTCCTTGGAATGCAGTCGTAGTGAAATTCAGCTGAGAAAGTTTTCATATCTGTCCAATGCACAGATGTCCCATGGGCCAGGAAGGGGAAAGCAGTTATGGTGAGAAGAGACAGCAATCTTGGAGCCACATGGTAAATGAGTAAGGACCACGTATTTAAGAAAAGCATGTTTTTTGGAGGGAAGGCACAATTCTTTGAAACAAATTCAAGTTTAATTTTTTTTCTGCACAAGTTTTCTGTATTGACATGTACTGTACTCTCTACAACAGACACAATGTAATTATGTGAAAATACCAAATTAGTTGTACACATACTGATAAATAAATACATTTGCTTCAGAATACCAAAGTGTTTTTTAAAAATTGACTTCATAAAAGCACATTTCCCCCCTCAGATTTATCTAAAACTCCATATAGTTTGAAACGAACGAACAAAAGAATGCCTGACTGCTCCAACAGGACAAGACAGTCTTGTGCAAATGGACAGAACACATTCTAAGCATTATGCAAAAATATGACTAATTAAATATTTGTTCGGTCCTAATTCCTCTTAGCCCACTCCCACCCATGTTTTGTTTAAAACCCAAAGACAATTTAAAACAAATTGAGACAGGAACATTGTCAAATTCTACTAGAATGATCATTGGTTTGTTTTAAGAAAGGCACAGTGATGAATTAGAAAATGTTAGCCATGGGAGACAACACTGCTAGCAAACCTTGTTCACCTAGCATCTCCAGTTTTCTGCTTTTTTACAATTAAAAAGTCAGCTGGGTTTTAAAACGCATCTTTGATGAAACAGAACATCTGGGCTTAATCCTACAAATACGTATGCCTGGCTCTCTATATTATACTCGAGCAACCACCTGGTTAGTTACAGGACAGATCCTTCAGAATAACATCACACAATTCTGTCTCTAGTTTGGTTCTCATTTATGGGTTTTTTTCACAATTCAGGCTCACATATTCTTCGCTGGCCAAAGGACAGCAGTGATCCGGCTGTCTGAAAAACTGTTAAGGTACAACTTTCAGTGACACAACTTCCTGGGACATCCTTGTTTTGTCCTTACAATTACATTTTAATAAGCCTTTCACAGAAACCAGAATGGCAAAATCTGATTTTTGCAAACTGCACTGGGGTTTTTTCCCCATTAGGGTTGATCTCATTCTAAAATATAGGGCCCATGCATTGAGAGAGAGTGAGTTAGAATTACTCATGGGAAACTGAGGCTGTCAGTGACATTTTTTAAAACTGAAGGAAGTTCAAAGTAAGTAAAGTGGAAAGATATTGAAATGCTTTTTGCCATATTCTTTATAAGAACCGCCCCGCCCCCCAACACTGGCTGGATGATTCTACAAAGAAGTTAGTGGGAGGCTGGGGTCCACACATTTTGGCTGGCCTTGGTCACCAGTTGACAATTGTGCTTGCCACTGACTCTTCCCTTCTCTCTGAACAGGGACAGCCAGTGTTTGCTGTAGAGGCCAGACCCCTGTCCTGCAGGGGCTCATCCCAGCCATGCTGAGCCTCAGAGAAGCTTGATAAGCTGCAATACAGCTTGCTGCTTTCCAAGCAAAATCCAAGAGAGTCTTTGGCCAGGTCCCCGCTCTGGAGAAGGCAGAGAATATCACCAGATTTAAAGTTGGAAAGTCACCAGGCTTGATTGTGGATCCCGAGCTGGAGGTAAAACTCAGGGCTGGCTTCACCCCCTTGGCATTAATGGGCAACTGTCAGGACACCTGATCCCAAGCAGGACCCACTGCTGGTGCCTGCCCTGGACCACACTTTTTGTTGTTTTCTGGTCCAGAGCTCCAACCTGCACCACACAGGTGGGTCACCATTTAATTCCTCCATGCCTCCAATATAAGCATTGGTTGGGGGCACAATACCAACAGCAGCTAGATCCAGCATATCAGAGTGCTGCTGATGCCCTCAGGTGCCACCAAGTAATCACACAAAAAACGAGGAATTCCAGGCCCTCTCAAACCTACAGCTTGCCCTGGTAGAAAAGTTAAGGTGATGTTTCTCCCATGAGTCCTAATTTAGATGTGACCTGTGCTGCAGGTAGATTTTTCATGGATTAACTTCCAGCCAGTCTCTCCTAAATGCCCAAGTAAGGACAGAACTAGAAAGGTTGGTGGGAGATCAATGATCTGATCTGATTAGCTGCTGAAGACATCTTACCAAGTCCTTTTCCTGTGCAAACATAAATCTTTAGATATTGTCACAGGACTGTTTGTGTTGATGGAGGGGCCTAACTGAGCAAACACTATAGCAGCCTCCTTATTCTTTCACAATATCAGAAAGCAGTCCTTAGTGTTAAAGGTTTTGAATTTGGCTAAGTATATATAATGCATATTACAATGGATAAATATTTGGCCCTAGCCCTCCAAACATTTGTGTTTCTTTTATTTCATACCAAATAACCACCAAAATTACATTTTGTTGTACAGCCTCAAGGCACACCCATGTAACCCAAATCTCTTTGCAAGTTGTTTTAGGGACAGAGAATGCACTCCGCCACTTAGTGTTCTGCATTTGTCCAGAGTCTTTGAGCTTTCCAGCTTTTAAAATGCTTGCCTTGCAGGACTTTTTCCTGCACCACATTACTGCATTACCTAAAATAGTGGCACTTTTATTTATACGTTGGTATCGCAGAAGTTTCAAATGCTGCTTTCAAAAGAAATCCAATGTACATTTCATGCTGGCAGCCAATGCTTTCAAATGGCGGGGAAATAACCCGGGAGGTCAACAAATGCTTTTTCCCCAAGGCTGTGTGTTTACAAAAATGAAACAACCACAACCAAAGTTATTTCTTGACTGTTTGGAAATATCTCTAGATAACTCAACCAATCATGCAATCTTCCAAATTTGGGGGCAGGGGGGCTTGACTGATTTATCTGTTTGCCATTGCACACGGCTTTTTGTTCTTTGCCCATTCATGCTTTCACTAAAGCTGCCTAGGTATCAAAATGTAGCAAATCATAAAGTGTCTCATGAATAAGGCACATTAAACAGGCGGGATGGTGGGTTTTGCTGTTTTGGGATGCAATGAAACAGGCTGGCGTAAAATCCAGGACAGTATAGGGCATACCTGCACTACAAACTGGTACCTGCTTTCTACAGCCATGGCTTCTGTCTAAAGCATTCTGGTAACAAACATGTTAGAGGGTTAGTTTTCAAACTTCTGCTTTTAGAAACCCTTTCCATATACGCATCTGCTGACAAACCTCTACATATCTGCAATAAAAGCCACACTATCCTTGTGTGCTGCAGAGAGATGAGCTATTTTGTTGCCGGGTCACTGAAGCTCGTGTCAGCAGACCCCTCTGAAGAGCTTCACCAGGTGGCTACTTGAGGATGCAACCGAGGATGCCAAGTAGACCTTCACCGCCTACGCCATCTTATAGTACGTATCATTATGTGCACTAAGTTGTGTTCACTCAACTTCTTGTGCCAGGTCTTGTGCCACTCATGCTCTAGACATCATTTGGCCTGTTTCATTGCCATCAGTGACTCAAGGGCCTCAACTGGATGGCCAGCTCTAGCCACTGGGAAATCCCACCCCCACTAGAGCACACAGGCAGGCATCCATTGGATAAAATTAGTTTCTGGGGGCAGACTACCCAAAGGGGTCACCCTCTCCTGCAGGGAGGAATTGCTGTTGCAAAGCTTAATTGAGCAGAAGTGTGGTTCTTTTTAGCAAGTTATCCATAAATTTAAAAGGTGCTCTTGATAAACTGGACAGAAGATTTAAAATATAAGTATATGCTTTTGTGGTATTTTTATGCATTGCGATTCGCTGTTATTTTTATTGATTATAGATTAGTAATTATTGTAATTGATAAGTGTAAACTGATTAATTATTATTTGCTGCTGTTTAATTTTACTGTTTACTATTAGATCTTAATGGCTTATCCAATATTGCTTTATTTGATATAAGTTGTTTGTTTTAAGGTTACTGTGACATTTTTTATATCGGATCAGATTGTTATTATTAATGTTTGGTGTTTTATTGTATTTTTATATGTTTTTGAAGCCACCCAGAGTGGCTGGGGCAACCCAGACAGCTGGGCAGGGTATAAATTAAAAAATATTATTATTATATTATTATTATTAAAAATGCAGATTGCAAGCATCATCTTAAGAGACACTTCGCATTTACTTCCGATTCCACAGAATGCTGCTTCTAAAGAAGACTGTGACAAGTTCAACCAGGAGGGGTTGGAGAAGGAATTATAGCAGAAAAGGAGGTGAACTTTTATTTCTTTATCCCCACCCCCTACAGGAGCCCACCTACAGCCTAAGGCTTGGGTGCCCACAGGGACAGGGATGTGCATAAAAGTGAACTATGGAATCTATTTTCCTTTGCTAACAAAGATGACTGCTTTAGTTTGTAACGCTGTGTGCACCTATTTGGCCATCGAACCAAGTGGGAATGAACCTTTCAGTAAGTGTGCCTAGGATCTGTGTACAGGGCAACCTAATTCTCGAATGGACTATCAAATATGTTGGACCTTCTGCAGTTTTTACTCTGTCGGAATAATGCAAGTCAACTGAACTGACAGGGACCTGTTTCTGTGTAAACATGGTTAGGTTTGTATTATGTAAGTGCCTTCAACTAGTGCCTCTTTTCTTTTGGAGGTGATTGAAACCGGACACAACCCAGTAGCCTCTAAGTCAGATTTGTAGAAGAAAACCAACTACGGCAAGAGTGGCATCCCATGCTTGCCTGCTCCTTAGTATATTTAGGGTGGCAGCCTCTGGATAGGCAAGCAGTTGCAGCGTAACCTTTAATAATGACAGCCCTAGGAGCAATATAGGTGGGACAGAAATAGAATATACTTTCTAGAGTGTTTTATAAGTCGGCTTTAGTTTATTTGCCTTTCATTTTCATTCTGCATGAGCGACAGAACCTTGCTCACCCTAATCCTTTATTTCTCTGGCATTTACACAACAATCACCTTGATATTTCTCTGCTGCTAGAATAATGCCATTTCTAAGAATAACACTGTGCGGAGAACAGGTATGTTCTTATATGGCCAGGATATTGCATTTTCTCCATATTCAGAGGATTGCATTTGTGTCTTGGATGCTGCTGTTCACCAGCTACATGCGTGAAATATGGGTTTTGTTGTGGCCTTAGGTGCTTTTGTTAGAAAAGCAGTCAGTCAGTATTCAAAAACAAATACCGTATTTTTTGCTCTATAGGACGCATTTTCCCCCTCCAAAAATTAAGGGGAAATGTGTGTGCGTCCTATGGAGCAAATGCAGGCGGCTCCTTGGCTTCAGCAATAGCAACGTGAAGCCTCCGAAGCGCAGAGGGAGCGCTCCCTCCGCGCTCCGGAGGCTTTGCATTGCTTTCGCTGAAGCCTGGAGAGCAAGAGGGGTCGGTGCACACTGACCCCCCTCACTCTCCAGGCTTCAGGGATAGCTGCCTGAAGCCTTCGGAGTGCAGCGCGAGTTCCCGCTGTGCTCCGCAGGCTTCAGGTTCCTTTTGCTGAAGCCAGGAGAGCAAGACTCTCCTGGCTTCAGCAGAGAGGGAGAGCTGCTCAGCGCCCCTTCAGCGAAGCGGCAGGAGAAACGGAGCCCCTTCCATTTCTCCTCCCGCTTGGCTGAAGGGGCGCTGCGCAGAGAGGGGGAGAATTATTTTTTCTTGTTCGCCCCCTCTAAAACAAGGTGCGTCCTATGGTCCAGTGCATCCTATAGAGCAAAAAATACGGTATATATTGTTTTTTCTTAAGAGTGTGTGTGTGTGTGTGTGTGTGTACAGGGTGAGTCCTTTAAAAGAGGCCCGTGGATACAGAGTACTCATGCTCCACAGGGCCTTTTTTTAAAGATTCACCCTGTATATATACAAAAAATAAATCCTGATTTTCTTTGTGAACATGGTTACCATTTAGTATGCTCTGCTCCAAAAAGTGTTGCTCTAATCCCAGGTATGTGGAGAGTGGCTGTAGTTTCTCAGGAAAACAACTCAGCTTTGTGCTCAGGTAGAGCACTGAGGCGGGCATTTGAGATAGGTGCTAGGGCCAAATGTCAGCCTCAGTGCTCCACCTGAGTGCATGCCGAGTTGTTTTCCTCATCACTGAGAAACTACAGCCACTCTCCACACACCTCGGATTAGAGCAATGCTTTTTGGAGCAGCGTAAAACTTCCAGGAAGGAGGGAGCCCTGGAAGCAGTTCACCCCCTTTGAGAACTTAAGTAACCGGTACCCCCCCAAAAAAAACCCAATTCAGTAACATTTTGCATCTAAACTTGGATACCCTTTTAGCTATGATGTTTAATAGCCCAAGAATGTCTGCTCCTTTCTGAAAGTGCCATGCTGGTGCCCAAACATGTGGCAGAACATTCCATTTATTAATCATGCATTGTGTGAACAAACAGCTTCGTGATCAATGTCACTGGCTGACCCCTAAATTCTGGTAATGTTGGGAGGCATCCACTTTTTTCCCCATTCAATGCATAACTTTATAAACCATCTTGCCCAGCCCAGCTGCCCAAACACTTGACCTATTCAAGTCCTCCTAACGAACAAGGGTGCTGTAAAACGCAGAGATGTAGATTCTTTCGGCAATCGAAACACCTTTTTCTCCAAAGCGCTATCCTTTATGATTATTATTTCCTTAAGACTATTTGGTTACTGCACTTAAGGCCTTGGAAATGCTTGCTCTTGAAATTTCCCCAGAAATGGCAGACATTGTGGATGTTCTTTGAATGTTCCGGACACGGTAGAACAAATTCTTTTCTACTGTCCATTGTACAACCAGTTACATAAAATGTGTGCTATCCTCTTTTTTGGGTAGTCTAACATCATGGCACAATGAAAATATCAGATTCTATCTGTCTGACATCAACCTGGAAGTAACTGCAAGGGTGGTTGAGTTTTTGTCAACAGTATGTCTTCGGGTGGTGAATGGCACTATTTAGCGGGAAGAAATCCCAATTAAAATCCTCACTATTATATATTTTGCATGGCTGTTTATTCGTATATATTTTAAAATTTTATATATGGATGTTTTATGTTGGCCTAGAATTGTAATGCCTAATAAAAGTTTGGCGGAGTAAGTAAGCTCTTCACAGTTGTTTTGGTTTCCAGCCACAAAGAAATTTTTTTAAAAGCCTAATTTGTTGCTGTGAATCTTGCTTCCCTCACATGCACTTTGATAAGGTGCCCCTGAATCCAAATCTCTAGTAATCTAAAACCTGAAATTCTTTGGTGCTTAATGCATGTCTTTTCTGTAATGACTGATGGTGGGTAAAGACAGCAACAATTCTCCCTGTTTAGAATATTTTGATTACTTGGCCCAAGGCATGAACAAACTCTCACTCAAGTCTTCCCAGCTACTCACTTTGGAAAGAATTGCTACTGATAATCCCACTGAGGCCCCTTTGCCTTGCTGAAAGAATCTATGAAATCAAGGCATTAAAAAGCAACAATAATTCAAATGCACACTTGAACAAGGAAATCCACTTGCTCCCTTCTTTGTAAAAATCTACCTCCCCACAGGGGGCAAATACACAGAACATAATTATCTGAATATCTAAAATCACACAGTCCAGATGGATATAAACTCTCATCACAGCCGCGTCCTTGGATCTTATTTTCTTATCATACAAATATTTGGTAAATTGGAGGAAATGTCTGGTTGGCTGATGGTCATGTTTCTGAGGCTGCAACACTCTTTCTCGGAGAACAGGTCCACAGAAATCAGCCTAAATCTAATTCTTCTAATATCAATCTGCTCTTGCTTTAAGATTAGTGAAGGTATGCTATTTAAACAACTGACGCCAACAAGCAACATTAGCAAGTTATTTTATTTCACTGGTCAATGAGGATTTTTGAAATTAGGTTGTATTTTTAAAAAATTATGTATGCCACTTTGGATTTTTTCTAAATATTAAGTGGTTTATAAATACATGTAAATAAAAAACAAAAAAAGGCTTTTTTTTCAGCAGTTTTTCCTCTCTCATGCCATGTCCTCTCTTTAAAAAAAAGGCTAGCTTGACACCTATGTTGCAATCTTTGGCGCCAGGCAAATGTGTTATTCTTTACCTAGGCATTCTAACATTGCAATTGTTAACTGTTTTATTATTGTATATGTATCATGATACAATTGCTCCTGAAATCCTAAATAGGGTGAAGACTGGCATATAAATATTTAAAATAAAAAAAATAATGTTGAATAAGGCTCTTTTGGATTCTGCCATAAAGCTCTTCTATCAGATTTTTATGTAGAGTTCATTGGCAGAGTTTTGCAGTGGGTTTTTAGCTAATCCATAATCTGGGATGCCGTAAATCTCTTTCCTTGCATATTGCATGGCCACATGAAAGTATTTCACCACTCTCATAATCAGCTATCATCCCACAGAAAATGGAAATTCACTGGGTTGGGTGAATCCTTGTGCTGTGTGAACTGTCATTATATTAGGGTTTCTCCACATCTTGGGGCATGGTCCCTGCTTCGTTGTCATCCAATAATAGAATCCTAATGTGTATTGACTTAGGAGGGGAGATATTGAAGTATTTCTTGCCCATTACACAATGACATACATCCAAAGTGAATCCCGGTAACCCTTGTATGGTATTGGTGGTGAAGCTGTTTATTCCCAGCCTTCTCTTGATATGGCCAAGAAAGAGTGTCTTCCTACAACTCGCATGGCACCTTGGTTTCTCCCAAGCTGTGTGCTTTGCCTTACTGCATTCTCCCTCTGAATCTGGACCAAAGTGGCGAACCATCCTTTCAGCTCAATTTGTAGTACCTTTTTCTGAACTTAAAATACAATAAATTAGGATATTCAACAGCCTGTACTCTTCTGAAACATTTTGATCTAGTAATTAAAAGGCAGCATAGTGTATATTTAAAACTGGGACACTTTAAAAAATAAATTTGCATGTCCACCACAAATTTTCATGTCCACTTTTGCGTGTAACCTAAAATACACTTGCACAGCAAACTGGCTCAGTCTCGGTGGGTGGTATTTTCACATCAATGTGCAACTTAATAGTCCTTTCTATGAAAACAGATACGTGGACAGTATCAGTCACTGTAGGTTTAGCATATGGTAATTCTAGATTTTGTCCTCAAAAGGGCAGGACATATTTTGTAATCGTAACATTTTGCAATAGCTGCATTATCTTCTAAACAGCTGCCACAGAGGCAGTTGTCTGAAGAGGTCTTCATCCAAGTAACTGAGTGCCATACAGAACATATGGAGGTGACCTGAATTTAGCCAGCTCAATATTGACAGTGTTCATGAGCAGCAGTTCTTCAAGTCTTCCAGCCCAGCTCTTCAGAATCTTAAGATCAGAAAAGTGGAACCTGCAGACCTCTGGGTGTTGCTGGACTACAAACCCCCTCATCCCCAAGCATTGGCCATGCTTGGGAGGTGAAATCAAGCAAAACCTGGAGGGTCACAGGTACCACAACTCTGTGTTTACTGAATGTGCCACAGATTGAACCCAAGGCATCATACATGCAAACTGAATGCGTGCTCTTGATGATAACAGGAAGTTCCCCAGATATGACTTATGAGATAACATAATTTCTAGCATCCATATGGCAATTTTGCAAGAGTGCAGATTCTCTCCTTTAAAAATAACAATGACTTTGCATTTGAAAGTAAGGTTTAAATTAAAACACGTCTATAAAATGACAACTTTGCTTACAAGTGACTTGTGCAACATTAATTTGTGCTTCCTGTTTCTCTCTCGCCCATCTCCCATCATGACTAAAAATTCATCAGGCCCCTCCCACGTAAGCAATATAACAACTTAAGTTTGGTCTTGGCCTTGAGACCAAATGCTACCTTCATCTCTGGGTGCGTCTGTGTGTTTTTAAAGTGCATCTTTCCCGTGGTCTTGTTTCTAAAGTGGGTGATGTGAAGCTCTCAAGGAATTTAACGTGATCTTGAGGTATGCTTACAGCCTCTGAATACTTCTTAAATCTAAAACCAGATTTGTGTTGCGGTAGCTGTCATGGATTTAGGAAAGAAGAAGAAAAAGCACCACTCTCAATGGTGTTTTCACTTTAAGCCATGATAGAGTACCTCATGGCACATCTTCATCACATAACTGAGGACATAAGATAGGATTTCTATTTACAGATCTCTGATGCCCCTTTCAGAAAAAAATAGAGACTAGATGGAAAAAAAATATTTCCTGAAAGTCCTGAATTTTAAAATATTTTCTCTCCAGCAAAAGGGTTGGTCCTTCAAAAAAGCAAATTTTACCTGCCCCGTTAAAACATGAAACCAGTGATGACACCAGAGAAAACCTGGAACATCTCTTTACTCCTCCTTCTTCTGGTGGCATGTGGTCCTGGCGGTAGAGAGGCTCGGATGTAAGCTAGTTCACTCACAAGCCAGCTTGCTGTCAAAACTGGACAGGGCAATAGCAAAGGCTTGAAGTGCACACATTGGGTAGTTGTAGTCCATAGTGAAAATATCTTCTGCCACACGGCCAAACTGCATCACAATATAGTCAGCTGAAAGAGGGTGGGGGTGGGGAGTAAAGAAACACAGTACAAGGACATCAATATAAGGTTCTGTGTATTGAGTGTGTATGTGTGTGTGTGTGTCTCACACTAACTTGTAGTCCAAAATATAAAGCAGGGGAAGATGAAAAATCATTTTCACCACCCAGATTCAATGAATTCAGCCTGGGAGACAGTTTCCTTTAGAGAGTTGAAAGGGGCATGATTGAGATGCTGGCCAGCTGTGAATTGCCTGGCGCTTCCTCTCATACCAAGGATGTCCTCATAAAGGGCAGAGCCAGGAAACAGAAAAAGGATACAGAGATGCAGATGAGATGAATAGAGAAGCGGAAGGCAGCTGCAGCAATCAGGAAGAGACGGGGCAAAGCATCCTTCTCCCCTGCCCCCACCTCAGCTCCCCAGCCTGCTACCCTGACTGAACTCACTCAACAGTAGCCTTTCCCAACACTCTTTGCTGGGGCACTATCTGCCTTCACTGTTAATCCTTGCCAGCCAGGCAAATGTTAAGGGGTGTAAGTCTCCTCTCCCCATAAACTGTGGGGCACATCACAGTGTAGCAAAGGCCTTGATCCCCATGGTGCGCATGCTCATTCCTCTGTTTCAGGTTTCATCACTTTCGGTGGCCATATTTAAAAAAAGCAGCCTGCAAAACCTATTTAACTGGAGGCAACAGTGACAATAGTAAATGAATGTGTACACCACCAAAAGCTATACCCCCCCCAACATAAAACCTTCCAACTTTCTCAAAAACTAGTACATGCTCAGACTGAGTTCCATGGTGAAGTCAAATTGCTTGATGTTGGTTAATTCTGTGAACTAGTTAACAATAGTTCAGCCATCTCCAGTCTGGTAGCCTTGAGATGTTTAGGACTATACCTCCTGTCAACCCCTGCCAGCGTGGCCAATGGTGAAGGATGGTACGAGCGGTACCCCAAGACATCTAGAAAGCACCAGGTTATTTTTTTTTTTTTAAAGCAATTTATTAGGTTTTACAATAGGAATAAAAAGCACCAGGTTAGACCAGGCTGCCCTACTTCCTCATCTTCTGTGTCAAGCCTTTGCACCCACAGAACGGTTGGGGGACTGGACACTGAGCAAAGTGTAACAAAAACAGAATCTCTCTCTCTCTCCCTCCCTCTGTTTATCAGATTTCAGACAAATAAGCAGCGTTTCCAGGCAGTTTTGCTATAGCAGCTGTACTTACGATCATTATCGTGAATAATCTGAAAATTTTTCACTGAGGCCTGTGTCACGCGACCGTGGAAATTTAAAACGTAAGACTGGGTGTCATCGTTCCAGACTGGAGTTTTGTTGTGCAGCTCAATGACACTTTCTGTGTTTTTATTCTGCCACCTTGCAAGGAGAGTTTCGTGCTCCTATGAAAGCCAAGGAAAAAGACATCATTTTAGCAAAAGCCTACTTTTTACTTTTGGTTTATGCAACATCAGAATGTGCCCACCCCCATGCCATCACTCTCTCAAAAAGCAGTCTTTACGTGCAGCCCCCATATCGCCCATATCTGTCTGCCCACACTTCAAGGTCAGATGCCAAAACTATTCTCCAAGTGTCTCCTTTATTGGTGATGAGATTGAAGACCATGACAGAGAGACAAGTGGCTTTTTTATTTAAAGATTTCATATATTAAATATGAATCAGGGAAACTCCTGAGATACATGATTTAAGCTAACGTGACAGCTTCTCTGTATGCAGAGCTGTAGCCACTAGTATCTTGTGCAGACTGTATTTGCTAAAAAAGAAAAGCCACCTATCATTCAGAGGCTCCTTGTTAATGACCCATTCTCACAACTTCAGCAAGCATGACAGCTTTTATGTATGCAGATGTGAGAAGCCACTGGTACCATGCGCAGAAGAGCGGCAACCCTGACAGCGAGCACAGAGCTCTGTGCACTGAATTTTACCATACCACCGTGAAAACAGCTTTTTGCAATGCTCACGGGGTTAAAATTGCATGACAACACTTAAGTTCCTTGAATTCCTTGCACCGAGTGTTGTTGTCAGCTAGCTTCCACTCAACTGTAGACTCACTGAAATTAATGGACCTGGATTAGTCATGCTTCTTAATTTCAGTGAGTCTACTATGAGTAGAAGTTAGTTGAATGTAGTTGTCTCTGGAGATGAGCTAAACACGTCTGCTTCTGCACATGGAACTTAGAAGAAGAAATTGGCATAGGCAGCTGCAGCCATGAGAATATTATTGACCAGCACCTTGGGTAAATCTCACCTGCAGTAATCTGTGAAACTCAGATTAGGAACCTAGCACACAGTACTAAGACAGAACTTTGAGCTCAGTATTCTCTCTGTTCAGTGTTCTCTCCTAATCTGGAAATGCCAGTGATTGAATGTGGAACCTTTGGCATGAAAAGCATCTGTTCTATCACTGCTTTATGGCAGCTAGGTTTTTTGTATCTCCAGTATCGCTCCTCCACAGCCTGTGACATTTACTTTTATTTTAGATATTTAAATGTATCATCAACAACAACAACAACTTGTCTTAGTATACACCCTCCCACACACACTTGAGACTCATTATGAAGAGGCTGGCAAACCCTTAGCTTAAACAAATGCGCCCACAGTCATTGCAGGTGAGCTAGTTTTACTGAGAAGAGTGACTTACATTGCGTGGCCTGATGGAAACTCTCTCATGGTCCATATTCATCCCTGGTATGATGACACTCATCTTACGAGGACCTTTAAACCCCAAAACATTTGTTTCCTGTTTTGAAATGAATAGGAAAAGCGTTTTGAATACCACACATCTTTCCTTTGGAAGTCAGTCTTTCCAAACAAATATCACTGGTGATAAAACAGTAATTAGCCTACAAAGGTGTTGCTACAAAGCCACCCCACTGTTGGCCAACAGCGTCCCAAAATATTCAATTTTACCTTGTAAGTTCACGGGGAAAGGGAAAATGTAGGCGCTTCATAAAACATACTTTGCATAAAGTTTTAAAATGTGCAGACACTTCAGCACCGGCTACAGCTCTGCGCTACCCAACAACAAGTATCATTAACAAGAATGCAACAAGTGACAGTTTTTGACAGTTACTGTATATTTTCAGGACCCACCTTATTTTTGTGATTGCAAGTTGTTCTAAACTGTTTTTGATATTGTGTTTTAATGTTGCAACCCACCCAGGGAGCTTAGGGTGAAGAGCAGGTAATGATAAATAAATAAATACTTTTATATAGTACTTCCGTGTGTTGAAAGTGCTTGGCATACATATCTTAGTAACCCTTACAAAGGCCCTTGCAGTAAATCACCTTAAGCTACAGTGATCTCAGAGTGGTGAGACAGTGAGAATGAATGGGGTGGGTGAAGAGAGTGTGACGTAGCTCCCATGCTTCTGGCCAGAGTGAAAGACTTCCTGGTGCCTCCTGATTGCTCCTTTGCAGCTCCCAACTACTTTTGTTTCTTGGGCCTGGACATGAAGGAGGACCAAAGGGATGAACTTGCACCCAGTGAGACAGAGGAGACTGCAGCAGGAGTAGGAAGAGAAATTCTTCCTTTGGCCATTATGTACAGCTTGGGTTTCCTTCTTTTCTACCATCATGTCGCAGGCAAAATCAGTAGATGATCTCAGAGGCTATATGTAGCCACTTGTCCTACTACCAACCAAGCTCATGGCACATGTAAGATTTAAACAGGACTGCATAGTCTGACTAAGTCCATAGGCATCGGCTTCTCCTAATGTGACCACATGCCCCTCCTAATTCACCGTGGATGGGAGGCAATTGAGAGGTATCTCCTCTTGCATAATTTTGTCACTTCTCATTCATCTGCTGGCAACTGGTGCTCTACTGGCACCCAGCACACACAAGCAGGTGAATGCTAACCCATTATCACAGTTGAGTAATGTTAAGTGCACAACTGCAAAAACTGCGTACTCAGTTGCACACACTTATTTCAACGGTAGTAGTACAAAAACGGTTGGAGTACTGCAGCCCAACTTGATAAGTGAGGTCCATGTCACAGTTTTATGCAAACTAAATTGCACGTACGTGGTCAAGAGGTTAGCAACGGACCATTTCTCACTAATTGTTATATTTCCAAGGACTTGGCTGGAATCTCTCTTCTGCTGCAGTTCTAACTGTGACCATTAGGTGCAGCTGTAGATTTATTAATCAGCAGCAGTGCCATTTCTGTAGAACTGCCTTGTTTTAAAAGCTATTCAGGATCCTGGGTTTTCTCTAAAGTCACGAGTGTTTGAAAATGCTATTGGAAATGTACACACCTAGGACTTAAGTGAATATGCATTTTGGGGCCACTTCTGATCCGATTCAGCAATTTGCATAGAATGTGTTTTGGGAACATCTCCTATGCACACAGGCATGGGAAAATTTTTTGTCGGAATTGATTATCCACTCATGCAACTTTTTTGTGCATAATCCTGTGAGGTGGACTGCAAAACCATGCACACATTCTTCCACAGATATGTAGCCAAGCGTGCTCCCAAATGTGGCTATAATATACAAAATGACCATGCAGTGTATGATCTTAAAAGACATCTGAATGTGTAAATACAATATATTAAACAAACAAACTTTTCTGATGAGTGGTTCCTGAGTTTCTCAGACTTGAAGCTTGCACAAGGTACAGCAACCCCCCATTTAAGCACTTTCAATATATGTGCAACCATGCACAAGAACATCGCACAGAACCTGGAAGTGACCCAAAAATGTCACAAAAAGGAGCAGAACAGGGTGCTTGCAGGCTTTTTCAATGGTGTTTCAAATATACATGATTTCACTTAAATGTGCAGTGCCTTGGAACGTAAAGGTAAAGGTACCCCTGCCCGTGCGGGCCAGTCGTGTCCGACTCTAGGGTTGTGCGCCCATCTCACTTAAGAGGCCGGGGGCCAGCGCTGTCCGGAGACACTTCCGGGTCATGTGGCCAGCGTGACGAAGCTGCTCTGGCGAGCCAGCACCAGCGCAGCACACGGAAACACCGTTTACCTTCCCGCTATAAAGCGGTACCTATTTATCTACTTGCACTTAGGGGTGCTTTCGAACTGCTAGGTGGACAGGAGCTGGGATCGAAAGACAGGAGCTCACCCCGCTGCGGGGATTCGAACCGCCGACCATACAATCGGCAAGTCCTAGGCACTGAGGTTTTACCCACAGCGCCACCCGCGTCCCCCACCCTTGGAACGTAACCCCCATGTAAATGGGGGGGTATGGTTTGCCTGCATAGGGCTTAATCTGATGCAAGCCTTTGCCTTGAAAGTCCATTTTAAATATCAGGTCTGAACCTAATAACTTATGAAAGAACTTTGATCATTTGCAGAGAGTCTTTCTTTCACCCAGGTCCTATTCATTTAGAATTAAGGATGACGGTTTCCAATGCACTGGAAATGATTCGGAGGCAGGCCAAGCACCTCTCATTTTATAAATTGAACGCTGACTAGGGTTTCTCTTCAGTCCTGTAATATCTGGCAATTGGTTGTGAATCTACTGCCAACCTTTGGCTTTGCTTGTGCAACTCAAAGCAGGCTGGATGACTCAGACCCACAGCGGAACCAGGAGTTTGCTTGACCCAGGCACAGCAAAGGAGCATGTGATCATCGTGAGCTAAGAGCATTTTGCATCTTGTATATCAGATGCTCATTTCAGCAAGTCGCATTTGCTCCAGGGAAGTCTAGGACTTGAGCAGAAATGGGTCATTTGAGGGTAAAGAAATCCCGAGTACATCTGTGCTGGGGTTGGATGACTCATGCAAACAACATTCACCATCATTAGCAAATGGATGCAGATATTCTCAGTCTTATGGCCAGAATGAATCAACGGACACAGCCACCAGTCCCATTTACTCTGGTTTTCACCACCTCTGATTATACACTGTAATCTGTTTTTGCATAAGAGGCCCAGGTGTCCAATAATAAACCTAGAGAAATGAACCCCACTCTTGCACAATTTATGTACATAGACTTAATTTAAGAGCATCAAGGCCAGTGCCCATTTCTCACTGAAAAATCTGCTCCTAAAGGTAATCATAGTTTCCTAGAGGCACTTGGTCACTGCCCCTCCCTTGGACATGATGCCACTGTTCCTCATTTGAACTGGATGGGGGAGCATCTGGCCCCTTCAGTTAAAAGAACTACACAAGACGGCAGAGGAATCATTGGACATCCTCTTATTTTTCAGCAAGTGTGATAGCGGTGAGGAGGATGCGCTGGGAAGACAGTCTGAGCGCAGCACCAACCAGGCAAAAGGCATCACTGCTCTCTGGCTTCCGCCGATGGGTGTCCCTGATTTAGGTATGGGTGTGGGTCACAAATGTGTTGAATGGTTGGTACAGCTTTGCATGCTATTAATTACCTTACTGAAAAACATTTGCTTATGAATGGTACTTACGTAGCAAATAGCAGCTAGCTCCTGGCGCAGATTACTTGCCTCCAAGCTCAACGTTGTTTTCATTGGGTTTACTCCATTATCATACACTGTAAACTTAGTCCCCATAAGATTTGATCTATTAGAGAGGAAAAACAATGGATTACCTTCATAGCCTGCTACTGATTGATTATCATCATTTGAGCCTTAAGCACTCAGAATCAATCTCTCTCTCTCTCTCTCTCTCTCTCTCTCCAGTGTATCTGGGACATCATAATCCCAGACAGTGCAGAGGTTCTGGAGGTTGCATACAATAAGAGGCAAGCCAGATTAAGCTACTGTTACTATAACTCTGAAATGAATTTCACAAAATCTCAGAGAAATGTATCAAGGCTAGAGATATGATCCCATGTGAACCAATTATGAAGCCTTCATAAAAGCATACTTCTCTCCTGAATCAAATCATGCAGCATTAATACTCACCACTATCATTAATACCGGTATCTCCCCTCTCCTTCAAAGAACTCTGGGTAGCGTACATGGCTTTCCCCTGTTTATCCTCACTACAATCCGGTGAGGTATATTGGGCTGCAAGATATGTGTCTGCTGCTAGCAAGCTTCATAGCTGAAAAGGGGTTTGAACTCAGGTCTTCCTGGATCAAATCAACCATTTCCTTCACTATGCCCAGGAGTGGCTTGCCCAGTGAGAAGAGGTAGGGGGTGAGGAGGCCAGCCAAGCACACTGGTGGGAGTGATGGACTGGGTCGCAGCAAGGGAAGGATGCGCAGAGACACTGTTCCTGGGAGGGTATTACTTTGGCTCTTCCCCATCTCCTGACTCTGCTACAGTGGCACTTCTATCTCTCATCTTGGGAGGACAGAATGCCAGTTTCCTTACCACCCTTTAATCACTCCAGCTTGTGTAAATAAAAATAGTAGTTAAAATTAATTAAGGGGGTAATTAAACCAAGTTATTCTACAAGCATTCTGAAGTTACTGCAGTGTGTGAATGGACAGTAAATAAATAAATAAATAAATAAATAAATAAATAAATGGAAATCTTTTGACTCCGTTATGCAAAATAAGGAACAGCTTGATTCTCTTGTGACTTGCTGTCAATTGTGACTTTCCATCAAGAGCTAAAGAACGCATGGTAGGTAGCAATGAAAACAGGGACTGATATCAAAGGTTTGCTTTCAGTGTTACCACTGGTATCCTGAATCCCAAAATGTTTATCTGATTCTCTTAGAATATACCCTAAATCAATGATGGTGAGCCTGTGGCCCTTCAGATGTGACTGCACTCCAACTCCTGTCATCTTTTATCACTGGCTATGCTGGCTGGAGCTGATGGAGTTGGAGTCTAAGAACATCTGGAAGACCAGAGGTTCCCTGTCCCTGCCTCAAAAATCTAAACCTTTACCTTAGCTTTCCAATGAAACTCTCTCCTCCTCGTGACAGGTCTGTAGGGTCAATGGAGATGAGGTAATTTGAGGTTTTGCTCTTCTTTCGTTTTCTTCCAGCTAACAAAAATACCTGAGGAATTTGAAAGTGGAACAAAACGTCACACTCCAGGCAGAATCTGATAGAACCACCAGAAAAAGAAAACGGACTCTAATTTTCTTGGGGTTTAGTATCATCAGCAAAAATGTAGAAGGCCAAAGGGAAAGTTAGCAAAAAAAGGGGGGGTAAAAAAAATCAGCAGAGGAAACTACTTCCTTCGATCCATTATTTATGGTTTAAATAATTAAACCTAGTACACTTTGTTAAATGTTTAATTTGAGCTTGAACAGTTTCCTTCAAGTAAAAGGAAAACAGATGCCAGTTCAGGTCAGAAGGGTAGAGAGTCCAACTACTAATCACTTGAAGACTCCAAGCATAATGATTTCTAAGGACAAAGTATAAAGTAAAAGACAACTACCTGAAGCCATGTGGGAGTAAATATTACATTACCCTTTTCCCAAGTTTCCCAGTACAGTGGTACCTCGGGTTACGGACTTAATTAATTTCGGAGGTCTATTCTTAACCCGAGTCGCGCTTCTGCTAATAGGGCCTCCTGCTGCCGGCACCACACAATTTCCATTCTCATCCTGGGGCAAAGTTTGCAACCCGAGGTAACTACTTCTGGGTTAGCAGAGTTTGTAACCCGAAGCGATTGTAACCCGAAGCGTTTGTAACCCGAGGTACCATGTGTTGCTAACACATTCAGAAAGAAAAGAGAATGCAAGCTACTCTGACATGTTTCTGAAAATCATTTCAGCATACTCCCAGCTCCATAGAGCTATTGTAGCATGTGGCATTGGCTTTCCACATGGACTGGAAGGATGGCATGTTAAATATCCCAAACCAGGGTTGCACTTCCCTGAGGTCTAATGAGCTGACCTACGGCTGCATCTTATGGACCCTTCTCTGGGACCAAGTCCTATTGATTTCAGTGTGATTTACTTCTGAATAAATATGTATAGGATTACACTTCATATAAGATAAAGGGAAAGGGATCCCTTGACCATTAGGTCCAGTCGTGACCGACTCTGGGGTTGCGGCGCTCATCTCGCTTTACTGGCCAAGGGAGCCGGCGTACAGCTTCCGTGTCATGTGGCCAGCATGACTAAGCCGCTTCTGGCGAACCAGAGCAGCGCACGGAAATGCCGTTTACCTTCCCGCTGGAGTATTTATCTACTTGCACTTTGAGGTGCTTTCGAACTGCTAGGTTGGCAGGAGCAGGGACTGAGCAATGGGAGCTCACCCCGTTGTGGGGATTCGAACCGCCGACCTTCTGATCGGCAAGCCCTAGGCTCTGTGGTTTAACCCACAGCGCCACCCGTGTCCCTACACTTCATGTACTTCTGTACAATTTGACCATCTACAATAGGAAGCTGATTCCAGATGTCAAGTCAGCTGCATGGACTCTTGGAACTGATATTCAATGGCCACCACATGGCAATTAGAAATGTGTAAAGCTGCCCTAAAATGTTTACCATCCATATCTGATGCAAGAAGAGCACGTTTTAAGAGGCCGCTCCCCATTCCACTCCTTGATTACTTTTGATTATTTGCATATGGCTCAGGATTGGGTTGCCTCACCAGGACTGTCCTAATGAGACACAGCATCTAAACGTCTCTGTTTGTATACAGTTAATAAAGCAATAAATTTCCATGTTTAAGAGTGTGCCTTATGACACTCAGCACTGGGGAAATACTTGAATGAAACATTTTAACGGGATGAACAAAACCTGTATAAGCTCAGAAATTAAATGTTAACATTCAAGTGGTTATTCAATAATCATGCATAGTATTCCTAATTATAAATAATGCAGAGAACACAGAGGAGTTTGGTCTCTTAACAGGGCAATCCTGTACAGGTCTACTCAGAAGTAAACTCCACTGAGTTAAATAGGACTTACTCCCAAGAAAGATTAAAGCATATTGTTATGTTATTTTTTCTCTCTGCTTGCAGGTTATAATGTACTCTCAACTTTATGCATTCATATGTTGGGGGTGGATGGTGCAAACTCTGGGTATAGGGATTTTCCCACTTGTACAAGCTTGTTTCTGCATGTTTTCTTTTGCTGTTTTATATGCAACCAGCAAGATCTGCTTTATGACCTTTTTCCCATCTTCCCTTTCCAGGTGGAGGTAGTAAGTAGGGTACATTCCACGGTCCATTCCCTTCTTGTCCCTTGTGATTCGGCATTTGACAGTAACCCCCTGAGGAGCAGGTCTCACAGCAAACACCTCCAGGTCGTCTACGTCTATGACGGGGTTGTTTGTTGAAGGGCTAGGCCCGGAGGCCGACTCCTAGGAGAGGAAGAAAAGTGACCATGTGCTTAAAAGACAGACACAAATTTGCTCACAAATTTATTGACAGCTGCACGAATTATTATAGCTAGGAAATGGAAGGGCCAAGCAGAATGTAAAATGGAAGAATGGTATAAAGAGGTATGGGCTATAGCTATTAATGATAAATTAACATGTGCCATTAAGCTAAGATGGGGAATATACAGGAGAAATGATTTTGAGGAGATATGGAAGGTGTTTGTAGAATTTGTACTGTTAAAATGGAAAGGGGTCAAACTATCGCAAGAGGTGTTGAAATTTTGGGAGGTTGGATAGTTACAATGGAATGGTCTCAGTGGTGGGGAGCACATTTTTATTTTAATAATAAATTTTATTTTATTTTATTTAAATTTAAATTTAATAAATTTAATAAATTTAATAAATTTAATAAATTTAATAAATTTTAATAATAATTTATTTTATTTTATTTTTTATTTATGATTATTACAGAAGTGTGGCCCTGCAGGGTCTGCATTGGAAAAGGGGATGCGCCTAAACTGGGCAAAAGCCAGAATGCGGGGCAATATGTCCTCACTGAACCACAGAACCATAGAATTGTAGAGTTGGAAGGGACCACAAAGATCACGTGTATCAAAGACCATGTGCTGAACTGACAACATTGGGAAAACTGGGGTTTCCAAATGGTCGATGAAAGCCAGGCGCCAGTGTACGCTGCAATCCTGACCCTATCAACCTGTGAGCAAGCTCTGATGAAATGTTAATATTCAATGTACTCAGGAGGACTTCTTCCTGACTATGTGTAGTTAGGATTGCACTGCCACTCAGAAGTTTGATGAGGGCAGCCAGCCAGGCAGAATAGCTCTGACGCAGTTTCTCACTGGCCCTGTGCCTTCAGCCATAATTAGGAAAGTCACTCTACACTGCTACTAAGGGAGGGGAGAAAGTGGGAAACGTGCGACATTAGTCAGCAATAGCCAACCAGAAGGTGGAGCCTGTTGATGGTAATACAACTATAAGCGCTCCCCTGATGTCACCGAGGGTCGTGCCATGCCCCCCCCCCCCCCGGCCACACAGGCATCGGACAGGATCTGTTTGCCACACAACAGCTTATGATCAGGAGCAGTCTATATGGGACAGGTGAATTTACAGCCTATCCTCCAAGTCTCACAAGTAATGTTTACTCACCACAATGTTGCATAATAATATTTGTTATGTCGTTTGCGCTCATCACACTTGTCATACAACGCTAAATCTGCTTCCATAAACGGGCTGGGCAATAGAGCCAACAGCCCAGTGGAAGTATGGGATCTTTTCACTATAGTCTGAAGAATACTAATGTTTCTAGCAATTGCACTAGATGACTCTTGACAAATGTTTGAACCATGACCTGGCCTCGGCCCACCAGAGTTCTCACCTTATTTGATTTCTTGCTTGTTGCAGAACCTGGTCGCGTATTACTATTCAACTGTGATGAACTTGAGCTGTCTTCATCCTCCTCGTCCTCCTCTTCATCAAAATTCATGCTACTTGAAATGCCTAAGGGACATTCATCACATTTACAGATTTAAAAAAGGCATTTATAATATTCAGTTTGAATATGCATCTCAATTGCTATGATAATTCTATGATTTTCAGAGACGGAATACCTCTGGTGACTGGATTCTGGGAACTTACAACAGAAGATGGAAACTTTCTTTTTATTGTTATTATTTATCATTTTTATTTGTTGTATGGCAGTCTGAAACACGTGTAATACAACAAATAAACATTAATACAGAATAACAAGAGAAGCTGTTCATTTGTTTTCCATTAAAGTCTTTTGCGCCAGGAAACTATCTTCTTTCCCTTTTACAGCATCTTTCTGCACATTAACAAATAGACAGAAGGCTGATTTAAGCAGAATATTTATCCAAACCATGGATCAGGGCAGGACAATTCTTATGCCCATACTCCATAGCATCACCATTCTATATTTCATATGTAAATGGAGATGCAAGTACGTGACAAAAAAATGATAAGGGCCACACCCATGGAAGATGTTAGAGCATTCTTCCCCAACCTGGTGCCCTCCAGATGTTTTGGAATACATCTCCCAGCACGGCTGTGTTGGGTGGAGCTGATGGGCACCTTATTTATCAACATTTCTTTACTGCTTGATTGTAGAAAACCTCAAAGTAGCACCACCAATGCCAGTTCGGCAGGTCAAAGTGGTCAAGAAGGCAGATATGAGGAAATATGTAGTCCAAAACACCGGCAGGGGGGCACCAGGTTGGGGGAAATTATCTTAAAGACTTGTGTTTTACTATCTCAGAACAGAAGATGTGCCAAGTATACAAGGTCTTTACACTGCAGAATGGTTGCAGTGTGGCTTCTGTCTATCAATTCATTGCTGTTAATGCTGCTTAAGGACTACCGAAGGCTGCTAATTTTCATATTGTTACAGTGACATAACTGGTACTGACAGCATCCCAGAAACAGAATGCTTGCTATAATGTAAGAAACAGTTGTACTGTCCTTTTGACTCTGTTCACCGACAAGGAAAATTGAAATCTAAATGGCAGAATATTTCCCAGTAACTAAAGCTGCTGGTGGCATATTCAGATTAGAGTATCAAACAAAACAGTTGACATTCTTTGCAGGCCTTGTATTTCCTGTACATTTTTATATTTTCAGGAAGTGCAAGTTTGGGGGGGGGGGGGCATTTTGTGGATGCCACACAGGGAACAAACAAGCATTTGTTATGTGAGCTAAATATTAGCTGATGCTGCCACCAAAGAATTTGAACAGAGTAAGTTCAAACCAGAGCAAAGCAACTGGAAGAAATAGTTGCAAGCTTTCTGCACAGTATTTTAGTAATCCCCTTCTGTTGTTTATAGCTTTTCAATAATATTAAATTGATGGGGGTGTGGAGGAATACAGTGAAAGAGTTGCACATGTTCTCAGTATCCACAAGGGACTCTAGTTGGCTTTCAAAGGCCTTACTTGGATATCAGACTGGCAAGCCATGCTCCTTAATAGAAATATCCCAAGTCCCCTAGTCATTAAAACTCGCTGTTTGATCCTTCTAGGACATAATATAATCCACCACCACGGGACAGGGGAGACAGTCACACAGCTAAGCCTCAGTCCTATGTACGAAACGGCGCTATCCACTGACGTTGAGAAGTGAGGCAGCTAAGCTCTCGTGTTTTCATGTAACACTTTCCTACAAACTTGTCACAGGTCCTAAGTGTGTCACTTTTAACAGGATTACTGGCTTGCTCCAAGAAAACACATAGCAAGAAGGAATAAGTGAAAACATCAGCTCATTAAAAAATAAAATAAAAAATACAGCACATCTGAGTTACAATAAACCCAGATTTGACTTTAGGGGGGAAAGCAAATTATGATACACTGTGAAAATAGGGTGGGAAATAGGATGCTATTTTATTGAAAAACAAGCTGAAGACCCAACATACAGTGGTACCTCGCAAGACGAATGCCTCGCAAGACGAAAAACACGCAAGACGAAAGAGTTTTCCATTTTTTGAGTCGTTCCGCAAGACGAATTTCCCTATGGGCTTGCTTTGCAAGACGAAACGTCTTGAGAGTTCTTGCGAGTTTGTTTCCTTTTTCTTAAAGCCGCAAAGCCGTTAATAGCCGCTAAGCCGCTAATAGCCGTGCTTCGCAAGACAAAAAAACCGCAAGATGAAGAGACTCGCGGAACGGATTAATTTCGTCATGCGAGGCACCACTGTATTTGAAAAGTAGGTAAACCCTCACCTTCCCACAACCAACCTCATTTTTTTCAGTACTCTCTACCCCACACTCCTATCATTTAGGCCTTGGCCTCAGAAAGAGGAAGGGCAGAGCCTAGGCTGCTTTTCCAACCCTGGCCTTGAATTCTTCTTCCTCAAACCTTAGCTGCAAGGTCCTCTAAAACAATAAGGAAATCTTCTCTCCTTCCTAAACCTGTTGTCTAAAAGTGGGTCAAAACACTGGAAATGTAATACCCATTTCTAAAGCAATGAAGTTTGTTGATCCCGACCCTGAATGGATCCCTGTTTGAGGTAACTACACCAAACAGTATCAGACATGAATGGGAAGGATATTCTCCCACTGCAATGTTTCCAAGTGCAAACTACAGGGATGTGGTCAGGGATGTCATGGGGACAAGGGCTTAATCTGTCTCCTGATGAAGTCATTTTGATGTCTGACGTTTTGGCCCCTCTTGGCTGAGTCCCAGATTGGAGCCCATTTACTTGACTATGAGGTGAAAGATTGAGATGTGATATGATCTTCAAGCATCCAAAGGGCTGTCACATGGAAGGTAGGGCAAGTTTGTTTTCTGCTGAATGTAAGCCATTGGATTCAAATTTCAAAAAAAGAGATTCCAACTAATTATTGGGGGGGGGGGATTTGACAGTAAAAGCTGTTTTGCGCTGGAATGGGTTACCTTGGAACCTTGACTCAATGAGAACCAAGCTAGTCCTTATCTCAGTAGTATTAACTAGCCATACTCTGGCATCTATTTTGGGGAGCATATTATGAATTGGTTTTTAGTAAAAAAAATTAAAAAAAATAAAATCACAGTTTTCTGGAGTTGGAAAGGAGCCTGAGGGTCATTTAGTCCAACCCTGTATAATGCAGGAATCTCAACTAAAGCATCCACAACAGATGGCCATCCAATCTTGAATGATGGAGACACCACCACCTTCCAAAGGCGTCCATTCCATTGTCAAACAGCTCTTGCCATCAGAAAGTACCTCCTGATGTTTATTTGAAATCTCTTTTATTGTAACCTGAATCCATTGGATTAGGTGACCTGTAATCAAACCAAGTAGAACCAACAGCCAGCAGCATCAGCAGCAAGTTTTGTGGTTCCTTACCTTTCTTCTGCATTGTCAGTCTAAGGTCCTGTGTCCCTTGTTGTTGACTGGTAGCTATTGTCTCACCATCATCCTCATCTTGGCAAGCCTCTCCAACAGTAAGTATTTGAACTTGGCTCCCTACTTCCTGTACATCATCTTGAAAAGCGGCCGGACCATCAATTCCTATCAAGCAGAAAAAGTCAAACAACAGTGTCACTATCCAAAGACAATATGTGTTTTTCAACCTTTGACCACGGCATACCTAAGAAGTCAAACCTGGCAGCCATCTTTAGGTATATTTAAATAAGAAACGTAGTTTTCATACAAAAGAGTGCTTGCTTCCTGTTGCTTCCAGGGGTCTGGCTCTAGATCAGTTAGCATGAAAACTGTTATCTAGAAGAGTACTGAAAGAGCAATGTTATAGGAAGTCCTTTCACAGAGCACTTGCCTTTAGAATGGCACCTCAAGTGGCCTAAAACTACCATTGTAACCAATAGAGATTGGTCACATCCTGTGTGGGCTGCAGGAGACCCTGGATAAGAGGCAGGCAGTGGTAGGAAATGGCTCCCCATGGTGTGTTTTTTCTTGGCATGAGGAAGAGGCATGTGGAATTATCACTGCTTCCTGCCTGACATTTGGAGCTTCCAGGTTCATGGCAGGCAAAGACAGAAGCTGCTTTGGCTGTAGGCTGGGGAGGAATGGATTGAGTGTGTCACTTGCCTGCACAGCCACTGGATATGGAAGGCTAGCCCCACCCACATAGCTGCTTAAATGACCACAATATGGAATGACATGAAACAAGGATTGGATGCGTTCTGACAATCTTCCAAACCAAACTCAGAACTGAAATGTAAAGGTAACAGTTCATGTCACTCCCTTTGAGAAAAAAGCTTGCTATAGTGACAGAAAATCAAAACAAAATAGAATTATGTGCATTTCAGCTTCTGATTTTATGCTTGCATGTACAAAATGTTGTGCTTGTGTTTACTTATTTGTCCGCCCTATAAAAATCATTTTTGAACTGATATAAGCTGTAATATTTCAATTTCTTTGCATAATGGTTTACATGCTTCCTGTTCTGTGCGGTTCAAAATTAACTACCGGAGACAGAAACTGCAGAGCACTAGGCAGAATTCGCTACTATTTCAAAATGTCAATATTTTAATAATGTCTCTTGAAAAGATGATCACAAATGGGGATGTGGGGGGGGGGAGCAAATCAGAACTGGGCAAACATTGCCTAATTCCCTCCTTGGCTATTAGCATTAATTTGCATCATCCATTTTACTTTCCTGTGACCACGCAACTTTATTATTTCTCACATACTATCAAAAGTAAATTAAAAAATGTTAATGTTGAATTTCTGCACACTAGAAACTGGCACTTAAGAACTGGCAACAAAGAATTAAATTGGCACAAAAGTGCCTTATGCTTACACTGGTAGAATAAGCCTGCAAAATGTATGCAGAAAAGCTTTTTAGGGAGACAATTATGTGCACTATAGCCACAATAATTCTGCAAGTAACTAATGAAGCAAAGGTAGCCATGGGAACTAATTCATACTTTACAAGGCAGATTTTCCTTGCAGTTCCCTTTAAGCACTTTCCTTTCACTGGATATTCGCCCGAGACAGAGCACTGCATAGAGTGGGCCACTGGTGTGACTTAGCATAGCAATTAATTGCGATGGTTTCTCACACTCATTAAGCCAGGCATCTTCTCTGCACGGTGAGAGAACAGACATGCATACAATGTAAAAGGCCGGGTGGGTGGGTGGGACACACGTGTGCATCTGTTTCTGTTTGTGCCCAACTTAAGAGGGGAAAGGGTCACACCATCAAACACAGAAATATGCTACCCGTAGCCCTTAACAAACTAGTTATGCACCAATATGCTGATTCCCATCCAGAATGTCATAGCCTTCATTTGAAGAGCGCTATCTACAATTTAATAGCCAGAGGGATTCTAGAGTGAGCATCACTTATTTATATATCATTTATATTTATTTTCATGGGGGCTGCTGCTGAACTGTAGCTTTGATACAGTTCGATACAGTATAATTGTTCTTTTATTGTTTTTAATTGCTTTGGGTGGGCATTTGCACAGAAAAGCAGCCTAAGTAAAATATTTAAAAATAAATACATACATACGTGTTGTAGAAATGCAGTATGGCTACACAAACAAACATTTCTATTGATCAACAGTGCAAACTCACACATGCTACTCAAAAATAAGGCAAAACAGAGAGAAAATAATTGCAATAATCAAACTAGCAATTAAATCAAAATATTTGCAGCAGAAGGCAATACAAAACAGTGGGTTAGAGCTACAGATAGGAGTAATTCTGCCAATGGCGCTCTTCTGTGTTGTACACGAGCTACTCGAGGAAATTGTGTGGCACTGAACAAGGCCCTGCAGAAGGGTTTGTACGACACCCTGGGCTAGCACTTGTCTTGGGACCTTATGCAAGGGATTACGAATTGTCTTGTACAAACAGAAGCACCCCTCTGCATTTCAGTCCTCATAATGGAATCATGTGCTAAATCAGTCTGTCTATCTATCTAGATATAAGCAGAACTGAAAAATTATAGCTATGTGTTAGATATTTCATGATGACTCCTAGATATGTGTGTGCCTCCCCCACAAGAGGTCCAGAGGGTGGCAACACGAGAATGGGCCTTTTCTGCAGTGGCTCCTCGTTTGTGGAATGTTGTCCCCAGATAGGCTACTCTGGTGCCTTCACTATATTATCTTCATTAAAGAACTTTAGGCACCAGGCAAAAACAGTTCTCTGTAACCAGGCCTTTGGCTGATTAACATTTGATGGTCTTTTAAATGTGTTTTTGTTCTTGTTTTTATTATGTATTTTTGGTTCTCATTTTGCAATTTTTTGTTGTTAACCAGAGGAAGGGTAATAAATAATAATAATAATAATAATAATAATAATAATAATAATAATATGATGTCCCATTTTTCTCCTCTTGATAATAGCTGCAGTGTCCAATGAGTTTTCAGAAGGAGGATGGAAAGAAGAGCAGAGAAAGCTGACTCTCATCCATTCGCTTCCTGTCCTCTGCCCTGACAGTAACCAGCTGCCACTGTAGCTTTCCTCACAGAACTACAGGAGTCAGGGGGTTCTAACTGCATCTGCCCATCCTAACAAACAAGAGACATGACCACAGATCCAAAACACATTCCAGCCAGGAAAAGGCACCTGAGGAGGGTGCAGAGTAGGGCCAATGAGGGCCTCAGCCAGGGGATAGGGGCCCAAGTCCAGAGGCCCAGAGCCTGTTGGGCCAGATTCAGGCCCTGGGCCAGATGTTGCCCATCCCTAGTGAAGGTATTTCCCCCTGTTGGAAGTCAAGATGAAATTGTGTGTGCGCGCAGTTTCAGCTCAGCCGTAATGTATGTAAACCTACAAACAAAGCCAATTGGCCTCATCGGATGTGTAGTTCATAGCTCTTTCCCCTGGGATATTTATTACATTCAAAGGCCCAGTGTATACAGCGGAGTCACATCTGCACATTAGAATTCTGAAGTGCTGCTGAAAAGCCCACATCATCGCCAACCGTGCTGGAAAGTTGGCACTGCTATACATCAAAGAAACACTGGCCTGCTTTGAAATTAAGAAGAATGATAGGAGGTTAGGAGTAAAAAGAAGACACCAACTCTTTTTTTTAAGAGACAACTTATTTTGAAGTATAGCTAACCAAAATGACACTGTAAAGGCTTTCATTTAATCCAAACCACGACTCTCAAGAGATTCACATTTGAAAAGTGAACAGGAGAAGTAGCCAGATAATGATCTGAATTCCTTGCTCGTTTAAAAAAACCCACCTATTTCTTTGAGAATAGAGCCTATTTTTAGATAACTCTTACCGACAATTGTGTAAGGAACAAGGCACAGTTAGCCTTGCTTCATCTGATCTGTCATCCAATGTCCCTTTTTAGCAACTGAAGTTGGGCAAAAGTTTGTACCTTATTCTTAATGAAGGCAGATAAATCCTTATAGCAGATTGAATGATTTATGGTTACTAACTTTCCCAGTTAAACCACAATCCCCTGAGCTTCTGATATTCAGAGGTATACTGCCTCTGAGTCTGGAGGTGCCACAATCAGATGCTGAGGACAAAGAACAAAGAACAGGGGATCACCATCCCGTGCCCTAATGCTTCCAGAGGCATCTTACTGCATGGTAATAGAGAAGTTTCAGAATGCATGGAACTGGTTGGGTCTAGCAAGCCTATTCATGTCTATTCAGAAGTAAGACTCATTTAGCTTAATGGGACTTACTCCCAGGTAAACCTGTACAGGATGGAAACCTAAGGCTTTCTGCAACTGGTTTGGATAGGAGACTTCTGCTGTCCCATCTCTATTCAATTTATGTTCACCACCTCCTGTATTATTATTATTTCTCTCTCTCTCTCTCTCTCTCTCTGTGTGTGTGTGTGTGTTTGTGTGTGTGTATGTGTCTGTCTGTCTCTCTTGCCCATTACTAATATGTTTACCTTTGCCCCATGCATACCTTCCTAATTCTGTCACTTGGTTTATTTTTAATAAAGTTTTGCATACATACAGCAAGCAGCAGTTCTGGGTAAACCATTTTTATCAGGGAAATGGTGGAGGCAGGGAGACCTAACCCTCTCTCCCACACCATGGTCCCAATCTGGATCTCTCACACAAACACACCAAAATATTTGTGAAGAGATTCGATCATGGATTTCTATTGTCTTGTCTGGGTTTGATCATTGCTAGATTATTATTTTTTTAAAGTTGGTTTCTTCTTGGATTTGGTATCTGGCTCAACTATTGACTAGACTTCTGTTAGTAGGGGAAATTGCCTTGGTGGCTCTTCTGATACAAGAGTAGTCTTTTCCTACTATTCAGCTGTCTACTCATGCACAAGACATCTTTTGCACTCATCCCTTTTGGATAGTTGCCCTGACTGAAAGTAGGAGGATTTCATTGTTGCTGAACTTGCACCCTCAAGGAGGCAACCTGGCAACAGTCATTCTAATTCATTTCTGCATGTTTCTGAGGTAAGGCATAAATGTCAGAGGGAATTAACGAACTTGTTCTGGTCTGGATGTGCCCTTGAAGTTGGGGTACCATAAAGCTTGCCCCCATCTTAGTTGTTTAAAATAATAAGAACATGTCCATTTGCCATAGTAGAGGGAAACTACTGTACTGGAATTGAAATCTGCTCAGTTACAATTCTGGAACACCACTCTTGGGATTTCAAGTGTGCATTTTAAGGAGTTTACAGCTGCTTAAGGAGTTAACAAGTTTTCTTGTTGTCTGGATTTTGTAATTCCCTGTTCTTTCCAAAGTAGCATGCTCACGACTGACTGAGTTTGAAATAGAACTAATTTCAGAAATCATAATCACTACAGCTAAATTGCTCTGAGGTCAAAAGGACAATTTTAATGTGTCATCTTACATCCATGGCCACAACTAACTGAATTTACAGGACTCCAAAGCATATATTTAATCAGCGATCTAGCAAGGATGGCGTTATAATCATATAGCTGAGACAAGGTAATGTTTGTGCTTGAAAATTATTGCAATTATTATTTTCCTGCCTATGAAATGGAGACTTAAAAATAGAAGAAGAAAGCAGGGTTTCTATTAATGTGCATTGTGAGGGCTGGATAACCTATCCTTATTCTAATGAGAGCTTTTATGCACTGCACCAAAGCAATAGCTCTTTATTGGCCTGTAAGTACACAGGGAATGCAATGACCCTACACAAACAATTAGCTGCATCCAGTAACTAACCATTTCTCTCTCATTTTATGAAAGTGCAGCTTCGTTATGCCTAATATTTCCCTGGTGTTCATCTTTATCACATTGTCCTGAATGCAATGTCATCAGCCACGAAGCCACTCAGAAAACCATCAGTTTTTACATTTAAGGTTCTGCATTCAGTTATTACAAGAGAGACTATGAGTACTGCTCATGTATAATTCAATAGTTTACAGCTCAGAAAATTAGCTGATCATTCATAAAACCTGGTCTACTTTTAGCCCAACGAGATTGGCCTTACTATGAAATGAGACTCTTACATCATCTAAATGCATGAAAACCCTTTCGGAACATGCTGTTTCCGAGTACAGCTGAATTCTAACAGCACACCGCAGGGTCCCGCCAAATAGGGGATACACTACATATGATATACAAAATAAATTTTGTGATTTTTGTGCAACCTCTCAGCCATTAGAATTCTACCAGTTACTGAACTCCCAAACTACGCATTCCTACTGTATCTGTAAGTTATCAAAGTGAACTGTGACCATAAATAAGTAAATGGATACCAAAAGCAAAATCATGGAAGGGAAATTCCCATTCTCTGAGATCCTAGTTAACAGTTGTGGGGGTGAGACATTTTAACTGTGGAGGGGAGGACTCACTATAGCACGTTTGGAGCTGCACAAGCAAGAGCCCTTTTAAAACAAATGAAGTCTACTAATCAGGTGACTTGTGGGGATAATAAGGATTGTGGTGGGGGGAAATAACTGAGCAAACAGCACAACGTTAGCTCTCTGCACAGAGCACCTGATGCTGACCGGTCCACAAAGATGCAAGACACATGACCTAGGGCCCATGTACCTACGGGACCGCCTCTCTTGGTATGCCTCGTGGAGGACCTTAAGGTCCACAAATAACAACACTTTGGAGGTCCTGAGCCTCAAGGAGGTTAGATTGGTTTCAACTAGGGCCAAGGCCTTTTCAGCACTGGCCCCGATGTGGTGGAACACTCTGTCACAAGAGACTAGGGCCCTGCGGGACTTGACATCTTTCCGCAGGGCCTGCAAGACAGAGCTGTTCTGCCTGGCCTTTGGTTTGGACTCGGTCTGACCCTTATGTTTCCCTCCCCTTATGGTCTTGATTTATTGGCTATTTTAAATTGCATTTTAACCTGTATTTTAAATTGGTTTTTCTCCTCACCTCTTTCCCCCCTATTATGTTTTTACTGTGATTTTATTGGTGTTAGCCGCCCTGAGCCCAGCTCTGGCCAGGGAGGGCGGGGTATAAATAAAATGTATTTTATTATTATTATTATTATTATTATTATTTGCCTACGCACATGCAACCTCATTTGATTATGGATAGAGACCTACTTCCATGCAGATAGAAGCCCTCCAATCAACTGGAGCAACTGAGACACTAACACGCAACTGATATATAATAAAACTAAAATGCTAGTCCTATCCCCAAAATGTGTAAAGAAAAATCTCCAGAAAATGTTTGTATAGTTGTTGTTTTTCCCTTCTCCACCTTTTCCTGATATTAGACTGTGAAATTTTAAAAACCAGGAACATGAATTATGTCTGATGTGTAGTTTGATGCTCTTGAGCAGATGGGTGCTACTCTGGTGAAGAACATTGGTCAGGGTTGGCAGAGGAATATGCCCAAGGAGCCAAGTCCAAAATGTATTGGATATGAAATTTTTTATCCTACTCCTTTGCATCCTACTCCCCCCCACCCCCACCCACCCCCAAAATATCTCGCTGCCTGAAAATCTCACTGTCAAAAAACAGAGTGCAAGTTGGGGGGGAAAGTCCTAAATATTTTACCAAAACCAAAAATGTTAGTTACAGTATATACATTCATTAATATTAATACATAAGCTTAATGAAAATAAATATGTTCAAAACAACACATAGTTTCTAATCTGCTCATCCTTAAAAGCACGGCTTGTTGTTTTAAACAAAAATCACAAACATTTGTCTCTAAATTTCTTTGAGAAATACAGACTAGGCATTCACAGTTCTTCCTCATTAAGTGTGGTATTATTTTTTAACCAAAACCTTAAATCCAGCCCAGTTGAGGTAAACACTACTTTCACAGACAATATAGTTTTTTTAAAAAGCTAATTAATTGGGTCTAGATTTAATTAATTAGGACTACAGCCATTTTGACCCAGAACTGCCACTGCAGTGAGAGAAAAAGCCACACTGGAGAGCACCTGCAGCACTTGGCTCTGTCCCGAGAGATTTGTAAGAGGGGCCTTTCATGACCGAGATACACAAAAATCATTCAATCAGCATTTTGTATGGACGATTGTATATAGAGTTAGAGAATACACCAGCGCTTCAGCTAAAATGAATAGCCTTTTCAAATTCAGAAATCAAGTGAGTGCTTGTTTCCTAAACCATGCCAAGTATAATCTCATTCCTCTGCATAAACTAGGTAGATTTCCAGATAATCGGAAGATTTTGGAAAAGCAGGTGTACTGCCTATACAGGGTATCTCTGCCTTCTGGCACACTACGGAAGACAGCACTTCGCAAGTCTGCGTTCCTGATGCACAATTTTTCAAGGCTGAGGTGTACAAACAGCCCCTTCTAGATACAAATTCCAGACCAAGGGCTTAGCAGAGCAGCATGGATAGCACAGTTGAAAAAAGGGCCAGCAGTATGGGAACCTTGGGTGTACACTGACTAAAGGGCAAAGTAGAGGGCATTTGTCATTCATTTTGCCCTTCTGTTGTTGAATTTTCTTTAACTCAGGGCATGGACAGGCAAACTAAGGCCTGGGGCCCGGATCTGGCCCAATCGCTTTCTAAATCTGGCCCGGGAATCAGAGTGTTTTTACGTTAGTAGAATGTGTACTTTTATTTAAAATGCGTCTCTGGGTTATTTGTGGGGCATAGGAATTTGTTTGGTTTTTTTCCTCTTCAAAATATCGTCCAGCCCCCCACAAGGTCTAAGGGACAGTGGACCAGCCTCCTGCTGAAAACGTTTGCTGACCCCTGACTCTGGGTGTGTGAGAGAGCTAAATCAGGACTATAGTATACTGAGGGGTGGGAGTCAACACTTTGCCATGGTCCCTATTAGAATGACTAACCAACACCTAAGTATTCACCTTGTGGAGGCTGGTGGGGGATTCTGACGGAGACAAAGAGGGGAAGCCCACCTCTTCCCAACACCGCAGGTCTGATTCAGTTTGCTAACCACACAAGCTATTTGTTATTTGAAAATCAACTATGCATGGGCTACCTGTGTGACAAACGTCACATCTAACTTGGCCCTTGGGATTGCCAAGGTTGTGACAATGAATGCTGGGCACGTGCATCACCCAGATCAGTGGGGTCTGTCACATGTCCTGTTCTGTTTGTCACAAGCGCCAACTGTGCTCAGAAAACAAGCAGATCCTTTGCTCTTCGTTCACACACAGACACATGTGGAATCCTGCTGCGATGACTGGCAGAGTGGAGCTTCACATCCATGTCTTCATGCACAACATGCTGCACATGGAGAAACAGGTTCAATGGCGATGCAGTCAAGCAGCCCAGGCTGAAAGCCTCTTGACAGTCCACCCCCATATCCACAAAGGTGAACCCAAATATCTACTAGCAAACTCTAGCCTTTATTATGTGGAATAGGAAAATATGTTCCCAAAAATGCAATCAATGAAATAAATCAATAAATACAAGCACTTGGATACAGCTGTATCTAGGCTTTCCATGCTAGATGGAATGGGCAAAAAAATGCCATTAGAACAAGCCAGAGGAACAGCCCTATTGACATTCAGCAGGCACTGACTTTGTTATTATTTAGACACTAGCTTAAAATACAGTTGTTTGCCTAAGTTTTGGATAAATTTTAATGTGTGGCTGTGATTTGGGGCTGATCTGCTGCATCTGATGGATTTTGTTAATTTTGCTCATTGTGAACGCACTCTGTTTTCATATGCTTTTATTGTTTCCCACCCAGAGAGGCTATAATTTTTTTTATTAAAAATACATAAATAATGAATAATTACACTCTTTATATGTGGCAAGTAGCTAATAAATTTAAAATGTCTCTTTGGAGACTCGGCAGAGAGAGTGGATATGTGTATCTTTTCAAAAGTCTTGAAAACATTTCTAATTTGGATTTGAGTCACTGGGGTTAAGCTAGGATTTTGTGGGCAGCATTCACCAGGGACTTGTTATATTATTGCTTTGTTACTGGAATCTTGCACTTTGGTTTATACATGTTATAGCTTGCTCTGAGGCTTTCTGGGAAAGTGGTAAGCATTAAATCCTTACTTAACACCACCAATTAAAGGAGTGGAAATATCAGTACTTGGGTGCACTTGATATCTCAACTGGACAATGCAAACTCCATCTATTGAATATAACATATATATATATAGATATATATATATATATATATATACACACACACACACACACACACACACACACACATATATATAATATAGGTTTCGGACAATGTGTAGCTTGAATGAAAAAATATGAAAGGAAAGAAAAATCACCCCTTGCCATTGTATAAACATATGGTGACTTGTCTCATTCTTATTTAATAATCAGCAGCATGCAGCTAACCTTTGTGCTTCCCCTTTTTCTCCTTTCTGATGTTGCCAGTTTGGCAGCCTCCTGTAGCTGCCTTGGCTTTTTTAGTTGACTTTGGAGCTTGTGACTCTGCTACCACCTTTACGTCCTCTTGCTCAGGCTCCTGTACTGCTTGAGAGAATCCAGACACCCCAACCAAAAAGAAACATAAAGAGAAAAACAGAGGAGAGAAGAAATGAGAAACCTATGAAGCCACAAGAAGTGAGCAAGCAAGCAGGCAGATTGTAAAAGTATTTTTATATATATCAAGTCAGTTCCAGAGAAAGAAGACAGTATAGGGTAGAAGACTGCAGGTTTATAACAATATTTTAAAAATACAGTATATTACCGTCTTTACCTTTAGGCTGCTAGTAAAATAAATGGCAATCCCTTTCTGTGTTACATTTTGCCTGGGTGAACCAGCCTTGACTGCTATGTCCAAGGACATCAGAAGAACTGAGAGTGCCATGTGCACATGGTCCCCTGTGATATCATCAGTTAAGGCTCCATTTCTAAGATTTCTTCTGGGGGAAAACAGCACCTTATTTAAAATGTACTAACATTCCTGCAATGTTCCTAATAATATCTGGAGGGATGCTGCAAGGGACACTGTCTCCATCAAATTTGCCACTTCAAATTGCAAGCAGCAGCATTTACCTACAAGTCAACTTATTTTTATGTAGGGGCACCAGCCTGCCCTTTCAAGCATCAAATAAAAGTCCCCAGCAGCAAGTAAATTTACTGGCTAGTATCTGGTCTTCTTGTCTCACTTCTCCTCTGCTTTATCTAAACATGTTTTGCAAATTCTCAAAGAGGAAAACAGAAAAAAATGAGAGACCATCAACTCAAAATGTAACAAAATTAAGCACAGAAGCTTTTGTGCTGGCGTAACCCATTCAGCTTCTTTGCAATTCAATCTATGCATGCCTGCTAATAAGCAAATCTCACTATGTTCAATGAAACTAATTCCTAAGTAAATGTGCAAAGGATTGCAGGCCTAATCATTAGACCTGCATGAACCTGTGAGGCAAACAATCACTGTAGTTTCATATTGTCAGTTTACTTATTTGAAACACATACAAACAAATATTTCTACAACAAAGTAAAAAACAGAAGTTGGCAGGCTGCTCCTTCTGATCCTCCAATCCCCACTCCATGCACACACCTTCATAAAAGTACAGAAAAGAAAAAAGTGGTAATGTTATGTAACTCCAGAGCTCACTAACAATGCAATTACAAGTACGTACACTTGGAAGCAAATCCCACTGAATTCAATGGGGCTTTACTTCCAAGTAAATGTGCATAATATGGCAGCCTAAATTGCAATACTCCTTTCATAAGTCAGAGCTTCTGCGCACCATTAAAACGAACTCCACACTAGTTCCATCTTTGATTTAACATTCTGCTTTTTTTAGAGTTTAGGATAAGTGCTCAGATGTTCAAGCTGCCAAAAGAGGGTCCTTTTAAAGAAATAAGATTCAAATGGCAAGCAGCCTTGAGTAAAAGACTTGGCATTCATATAAAGCCATTTAATTATATTTGGGAAGTTCTAAAGCTGCAACAATGACCAGTAATGGTAACAGGAAGAGTTCCAGGAACCGCTGCTCCTTGACAAAGAAGAAGGTGAAGGATGGTCATATCAGGATTTCCTCTATGGCAGGGATGAGGAAGCTGTGGTCAATCAGCTGTGGCTGGGTTCCAGCTTCCATCAGCCCCTGCCAGCATGCTCAATGGTCAGATGATGGGAGTTGGAGTCGAGCAACATCTGGAGGACCACAGGTTCCCCATTGGTGGTTCATGGCATCCTATAAGCTTGGTGATCTGGTGTGGATTGCAGCATCTATTAGCAATGAATGATTAGGTTTTCAGGTCACTCAAACACATAGATTTGTGTGTATCCACATCTATTGTTTTGCCTGGTGTTTCCTGCAAGATGACTTTCAATAGTTGATCCATTTCACATCCGGATATCATCATCATCATCATCATCATCGTCGTCGTCGTCGTCGTCATCAATTCTTTCTTGGAATCACACACATAGTCTGGACCAGGCATAGGCAAACTTTCCCTGCAGCTGTTTTGGGACTACAACTCCCATCATCCCTAGCTAACAGGACCAGTGGATGGGATGATGGTAACTGTAGTCCCAAAACATCTGGAGAGCCGAGTTTGCCTATGCCTGGTCTGGACATCCCTCCAACAATGTCCAGCTGTGTTGAAATGCATTTGGGACTATCCAATTTTTTTGAAAAGGGACTCTGTGTGTGATCACAAGAAGGCTCTGTTAGTGCTTCGCTGAGGAGTTTTGGTGAGGCCTTGCAAAAATTATAAAAATGTGTATTAAAACTGTCTAAAGAATGAGTTGATTTGCATGTGTCCCTAAACTGCATTTTTAAAGAAACACAGAAACTGTCTGGCACTTCTTATTTCAGCAGTTTGCTCAACTAACTAGGAATAGCCAGAAGCAAAATAAATAAATACTGTGGGCTGCAGCTTGAGAATTAGTTCCAAAGGTGGCACTTTCTCTGCACTTGTCAAAGCCTGAATTTCTGTTTTAATACACATGTCGAATTTTGTTGAGGCAGAGCTTAGCAATCCATATGACTTTAGGTTTGAGGACTGATCCATACTGTCCATAGCACCACATGAGGTGGGGCAGGGTCATGAAGCTGCCCCACCATATGTCCCTCCAGCAAATATTGATGTCTTGAATCCACATAAAACTGAATTATTTGCTATAAAAGCAGCCAAATGAGATTTTCAAAAAGATAAACAGAGAGTACCCTATAATTTCAGCAGAATAAATTGACACTTAAGAGTAGAACAATAAACTATGGCAGGGACGGAGAACCTTTTTTGCTCCTTATTAGGATCAGCCTCGCAGGTCAAATTTGACAGGTGGGCAGAACTGAGCAGAATTCCTGAGCTCCTGGAAAGAACCATAGTAGGTGGCTGCTCCATGTTTGTGTTTATTTCCCTGTAATAAGAGTCAAACACAAAAACTCACTGAAATCCCACCTTGTGCTCAATTCCTTTTTGCTACCTCAGCAATTCATTCTTGGGAATGCTTCAGCCATGCTCAGTAGAATGTCAAGCTTAGAAGGAAGCCAGGTGGTCTTCTAAACGAACCCTCTACTCAGCGCAAGATTTGCAACGTAGGGTGCAACAACAGCATCCCTGGCAGGTGGCCACCACTGTTTAAAAGTCTCCAGTAAAGAACAGCCCACTATCTCCCAAGGCAGCCTCATCCATTGCCAGATAGCTCATACTGTGGAAGTTTCTCCTGCTAGTTAGCCGAAATCTGCTTCCTTGCCATTTCCATCCATTAGTTCTAACCCTGCCCTCTGGAAATCACAGAGTGCAGGACTTCTTGTGCTTCATCAGCCTACTGAAAGAGAAGACCACGAGGAATATATGCCTACAACCAACCCTGCCTGCCTCTGGCTTTGCGGCTCCATTATGTTAGGAGAGCAGCATCTGGGGTTGTCCCAGGGTGCACTTCTCTGTCGAGGAAGTGGCCAAAGATCAAGTGTACACATGGCTGCAATGGTGGCATGAGGCTTCTAGTCACCTATCAATGTGGAAGCAATAGAGAGTACAGAATGCTCCATCCAGAACACAAAATGAAATGAAATACAGATGGCATTTATACAGAGTGTAAATTAGCCAATTAGCCTTCTCTGAAGAGAAGTCTACACGTGTGAACTCATACATATTCCAAATCCTACCTGCTACAAATGACTGTCATGGAACTGAAGCTCTGCCTTTGCGAAACCACAAGGTGCAAAGGAGAGGCCTGTGTTTTACCCTGAAGAGATTTCTGCTGGCATATAGAATACCTAGCCCTATGTACCATGCTAAACATCAGTCTGGGAGGCTGATTTAAATAGGCCTTGAATGACAAGGAAGAGCAGCTTCTTTTCCTTTTGGTAAATAGCGTGAAATATTATTTTAATTCACTTGATTCCTTTCCTGATTTTTAGATGAATCTTACTACAGTGGTACCTCGGTTTTCGAACAGCTTAGTTCCCGAACAACCTGGAACCTGAATGCTGCAAACCCGGAAGTAGGTGTTCCGGTTTTCAAACTTTGCCTCGGAAGTTGAACATGCTCCTGAGCTTCCATTTTCACTGTCGCGCAGCAAATTTGAGTCCCGAACATAGTAATTAAGGCTTTTTTCATCCCGTTTTACCCTTGCCCAGCAAATTTAAGCCCCCCCAATCATAATTAAAGCCTTCCCAATCGTAATTAAAGCCCCCCAATCGTAATTAAAGCCTTCCGTTTCTGATTGCAGGTGCTTTTGTTTTTGCTATTTTGGGGGTTTTAGTTTGTGTGGCTTTTTCATTTTTGTGACCCTGGCTTGTTTTATGATTGATTGATTGATTGATTGATTGACTGATTGTGTGACTGTGGAAATAGATAAAAAAAACCCATTCAAACAATGACTATCATCAGTGCAGGTTAAAAAAAAAATTAATTTTACTTTTTATCATCTACTATACTGTCTTATTTATTTTATAGTACAGAACATTGATTATTGGATCAACGGTCTTGTTAGATAGTAAAATTCATGTTAAATTGCTGTTTTAGGGGTTGTTGTTAAAAGTCTGGAACAGAGTAATCCATTTTGTATTACTTTCTATGGGAAAGTGCACCTTGGTTTTGGAACGCGTTGGTTTTGGAACAGACTTCCAGAACCGATTAAGTTTGAGAACCAAGGTACCAAGAACCAAGAACCAATGTTGAAGCATTATCATCCCACAGTACTGATAAAACCTGGCTGGTTGTTAACAATGTTTTGACTTGACATTTTCCTATGCTGGTGTCCTTTGATAAAGACAGAACATTTTTTTTCTTTATCTTTCTCCTGTAACCTTAGGTTTTTCCTCCCTATGTGAAGCTTTTCTGGAACAATTTTATCTCATGTTAGATTTGTACCCAGGTCCTTTTGTTCTACTGAAAAAGTAGAAAGCTATTAAGTTTTAACTGTACTTTTGTTAACACAAAAAGGAGGATGAACTGAAACAAAAAGGTAGGTTTTCTTTAATAGAAAACATTTAATTTTCTGTATCAACCGATGCTTTCGATTATAGGTTAACAAAACTGAAATTTTCTCATATCTTGAAATGTAAATTAAAACACTGTTTCATATATATATATATATAATGTCAAAAACTGTTAGATTCCCCCTGCTTGTGTGAATACAAACATTTAAAACATTTTAAGTGTTAACTAATGCTCATTAATAGAAGGTGCACAAACATCCACTGAACTGGTAACTTGAAACTTGCCACTTGGTGGAAAACTGACGTCATTTATGGCTCAAAGTAAAATGGGGCTCAAAATTAAACAATGTACAGCCAAAACTTTTCATCTGAAATACATTTGATTTTTTGATGATTTTTTTACAAGTTATATAAAAGGAAGGAAGAAGCAGACAGGAACTGAATGTATTTTGAGCCAACACATTTTCCATAGGAAAAATGGGTTGCATCCCACTCTGCATGATCAGACTACCACACACGCAACAGGATTCCACCTTCCTCTCCTCTGCCTGCAACCCCCCAAATGCCAAAATCCGGTCCCTCAACATTACAGAGCATATTTTGGCATGTGCAGGGGACTGTAGGAGAGATAAGAGGATGGAGAGGTTATGCCAATGATGGCAGTGCTGGATGCAACCTATTGCTTCTCTCCTCTGTGCACATGCATACCAACATGTGCTGGGCCACAAAATGCAAATCATTCATCCAAACAGAAGTTCTATTCACAGTGTGGTTTCCAATTTATAAATGTAACTGAAGAAAAGGCTGCTGAGACTAAGTCAAATGCATTTAATATTCAGACACCGTGTACATTTAAATTGCGGTTAAAAACGGCTAATGAAATTCAAATGCTTCTTTAATTTTGAATTTAAAAAAACAAAAACACTTTTGAGGAATGCTAAAGGGGGAAAGTGAACATCAATGCAATTTTCTAAAAGGCTATTGTAAAAAAATAACATTTTCCCTGTAATATTTTGCAATGAAATACATACTTAAGGGGATTGAGATTTTCATATGGTGGGAAGGGGAGAAGGGTTGTCTCAGACTTACTGCAGTTGAAGCAAATGATGGCATAATTATAAACTAAAATGTAATGAGCATGCATATAAAATGAATCTGCGAGCAAAGGAACTGTATGCTCACATTAATAAGGTCATTTGGGCTGCATGATATTGCAGTGTTGCACATAATGTTTACTAAAATATGTATATTTACCATTCTTTGCCAAGATTGAAAGGCTGAGGACAGCAACCGTATACCAAGAAGTAAGATTTATTCAGTCAGACATTCAACTACTGATGGTGCATTTTTATTTTTATATTTAAAAGTTTAACTGGGGAGTGAGGGCAGTTAGTGATTATGAAAGTGGACAAAAAGCCTGAAAGTTTTATGTGCAGTCAACTTTCTACAGAACATGGAAAGGAAATGTACATTCTGTTGACAAGTTGTCCTCTTCCATTTTATGAAAAGTAGTAGTTTTAGTTTTTGCTTAAAACCATGAGAAATTCATTGCTAAAACAACAGCAGTGCATTCTGCAACTGTGAATGGAACACCTCCCACAAATGGTGAATGATTGAATAATTTCAGAAGGAAGATAGATGGCTCAGTAGCTCTGTCAATCTCTGACAGAGATTGACAGAGCTAACCCCCCAAACTCTTTCCATTGGGAGAATAATAATCAAAATACTATTTGATGGATTATTGAAGTAAGAGTTATAGGGAGACTGAGCCGCTGTGTAAAAAGGAACAAATATTCAATTCTGATGCCTATGTTTAGACCAGTTTATATTACTTTTTTCCCTAAAATTCTTGTCAGCATATTCTCGAATGCATCTCTTGATCTTTTCCCTGCCCTCGACATTTTGCAGTAAATTAGGACACATACCATTATAAATGGTGCTGCTGTTGCTGTTGAGGTAAGATTCAACCAATGGTGCTTGTTCTTCTGACTGTTTCATTCTGCGCGCCCTTGTCCGGCTGTCGACATTGGACTGAACCATCAGTGGCTCCTGACGTTTTTTCTTCTGCTTCTGCTCAAGTAATGCTCGCTGGGAAAACACACAGTGACACACAGAGAGAGCTCCTCATTAAATTAAATAGGAACCTGTGGGCCTATGGACTGATTTCTGGGTGTCTCAGCAAGATGCTTTGAACCAAACAATATTAAATTGGACGTCAACCTCCTACCACAATTCTGTATCAAACCATTTATTTTGCTACTATTATGTACAGTGGAGATACGCAAGCAATTCTTTATGGAGAGGCTCTTTTAAAACTTAAAAAAGCAAAAATACCTACGGTGATAAGAGCAGAGATATTTGACTCCTCTACTGATAGTCAGATTTGAGATTTAAAATCACTTATACTAAATATTGGGAAAGCAATAAAGTATAGGAACTAAAATTATTGCTGTATTATGGTGATTATAATTATGATCTAAGCTCTATGTGCTGCAACTCCCTAGCCACTGAATCAATGGAATTTATGTCTGAATAGGCACAGGGAGAATTGCACTGTGAAATGCATAAAAGTCTTTCCCAATGCTACAACTAATCTAGCACAGAGATTCTGCAACAATTGCATGATCCATCAGATCAATCCACACACCCCAGCCCTGAGAAGCACAAAGCAAGCGGGCTGCAGCCAATTGCTAGTGATGATTCTGGAAAACATACTAATAACTACTTGCATCAGACCATGTAAGTGACCCATGCTTGTTCAGGGGTGGCTGAAAGTAATTTCATACATCACACCCCTAACCTGGAGAATGGAGCACTGTGGCCTGATTATGGAACATGTGAAAATGCTGACTGGGCCCAAAATGAGAGGGTGGGATATCTGATTTTCCAATTTAGATTCCAAATATTATTTTGTCTCAAAGACAAATTTGAAAGCTAGTATCAACATCGCAGCCCAGGGTAAGAGTGATCTTCGCTGAGCATTAAACAATTACCGTATTTCAGTTCTCAGTTCCTTAGCAGATTTTATAACCAGAAGGGGAGTGTATTTTCCAGCTGTATGGATCTCTCATTCCAGATGTTTCCATGTTTATATTATGATGGTAGATAGTGCATATTTATGAGTCATTTGTCCATATCCACAGCAAAACTACACACCTAGTTTTAAAGAGCCCGGTGGCTTATTGGTCAGCACTGATTTATGCTATGGAAAAAACCTAAAAGTTACCAGTTGTGAATATCAGTAAGAGGAAGTTTGTCTTATACTTAAGAAATCCAGTTAAGCAAGCTCCAGCTATCAACATGAAATAACCAATGAAGTGCAATGAAATTTTTACAAACTCACCTGTCTGTCAAGCTTTTGTTGTCGGAGATTGCTGCTCTCATCATCTAAAACGCTGCCAAGATAAATAAATAAATAAAAGCAGAATTTATTCATCTAACCACAGAAGAAAAACTTGCTGTTCTATAGTTATCTATACAGTGGTGCCTCTGTTTGAGAACAGTCCAGTTTAAGAACGATTTGGTTTACAAATTCTGCAAAACCGGAAATAGTGTCTTGGTTTGAGAACTTTACCTCGGTCTAAGAACAGAATCCAAATGGTGGAAAAGCACCCGTGGCGGGAGGCCTCGTTAGGGAAAGCACGCCTCAGTTTAAGAACTGTTTCGGTTTAAGAATGGATTAAATTCATAAACCGAGGTAGCACTGTAGTAGTTCACAGGAATTTTGTACCAACACTCTGCAACAGGGTTCCACAATTTTTTGTTGGCATTACACAACCATTCTTTGTAGCCGTCACAAATTTTGACCATCCCTTCCCTAAAGACACTCAGAAGCAGCAATAATCCAAGTATCCCTAAAGCCTGGCACATAGTAGCCAAATGACCTCTCCCTACCACCAAGTTCTGTGTGTGTCTACCAGAGCTTCTCTCTGTTGCTTATTCCTGCCGCCTGCCCCCCCCATCTCGAAATCCTCTGGAGTGTAAGGAATACTCAGGAAAGATGAAGGATCTCTCATTTCATTGTGGGCAACCAGGGGAGGGTTGCTGCCGGAAAGAGATTTATGGTCACTATTGACATCCTGGTGACTATATATGCAAACCCTTGCTCTGCAATATTTTGGATCACTTGGATCAAGTTAATGTAATAACCACAGCAAAACAGGGCCTTTTCAGTGGTGCTCCCCCAGGTGTGGAATGCCCTCTCTAGTGAGGTGTGCTTGTCTCCCATCATTATTAACTTTATGAGGGAAATTAAAAACATTCTTGTTTTTAAACATTCGGTGGCTTAAGAATACCGTTTATGGAAACACTGAGATCATTGGATGGAAATATGTTTTTAATTGTAAGCGTTATCAGAACGTTTTGATCTGTTTTAAAATGTTTTTGCTTTGTTTTTTGTTTTTAAATTGTATAAAAATCTGCCACCCTGAGCAACTTGGGGGAGGCAGGGCAGGGCAAAAATTTAATAAATAAAAAAAAATGTGAGTGTAAAGGTGTCAGAGTCAGGGAATGATAGCACTGTAGGCATGGTTGCAAGGGGCAATCTTTCACACGTATCCCACCATACACACAGAGAGAATGTCCAAACTGAGCCATTTTTAAAAAAACGTGCAATTTCAAAGCAAAGAAAAGGTGTTCCAGAATCCGTCAAACAGCAATATATTAAAAGCGCTAGCACAGAGCTAAAGCCCATCAGATGACAGTTCACTCAAGGCCTTCTGAAACAGATAAGTCTTAACAAAATGTAAGAAATAACACAACTTAGTGAATGAATCCCATCTAGCCATTTCAAAGCTAAATCCAGAGAATGGTGCGAAAAATCAAATCACAAACTTTACAAGAGTAAATAACTGTATGGCAGATCAGCTGTTAACTACATGTGAGATCTTATTCACGATTCTCCTACTTCATGTCTGGTTTGGCCCAGAGAGCCATTATCTTGTTGAAAGGGTTGGTACATCCCACAGTTGTGCAATGCAAAGCTTTGCTGCAGACAGTGTTTGCATGATTAATGGGACTTCTTTCTCTCTGACATTCAATATGACAAGCTGGGAGTGCAAAGGGATAGAATGACCGGTAATGAATTGAATTAACCTCAAACCTGCCTGCCAGAGGCCTCTGATATATTTACACAACCACCAGATTTATAAGCTATTGCTATCCTGGTCACAAGAGATCTTCTGCAGCACCTTAGATAACCTTATTTAGTGCTGATATACTACATTTCTCAAACAGCAAATCTCCACTGCTAAGTAGCTGATCAGTTCCCAAACGATTTCCTGTAAAAAATTATGGACTCACTTAATGTTTGTATCCTGTAGGAGCAACAGCGGCAAAAATGAGGTCAGAACTGGGCCTTAAGTACATTTCTATTATTTTAGTAGGTCACTCTCTGCAGGGAAGCCAGTACCCCACTATTATTGTCAAAGGGGCAGCCATTCCGCCTTGAGCTAGTGACTAATGGCCCCTTGATTTCATTTTCCTGGACTTCTTGATGCAGAGATTGGGATTCAGAGGCTGGTGGGTCAAATTAGTCACTGAAGGGATGCTTGTCATTTTAAAAATACAGGTTTCTATCTCCAGAAAACCTCCACAAAACTAGTTCTGAGAAGAGAGAGTTTATCAGCGCTGAAGTGAGGGTCTGGTCAAAAGAGCTGACACAGATCCTCCCTCAGCAATGTGGCAACCTACCAGAGGCAGATTTAGGGGAGATGATTGGCTCGCCCGCAGGAGGTGCTGAGCCAAGAGGGTACCACGGGGGTGCCCAACAATGACAAACAATGAAAGGCGAAAAGCAGGAGGCACCGGATTTTGGTGTCACACAGAGCGTCAGTAAAAATTTTAAACCGAAAGTCCGCCAATGCAACGTACATACACTGAGAGATGATCCAGGCTGCAGGGTCCGCTAAGGAGTCACCCAGCAAAATATAGGCCTGACACGAATGGGACAAAAATTGGTGAGATGCATTTCCATCCCCATCTCTTCCCACACTGAACAGTGCAAATAATCTACAACTGGTGGCTTGTAAAAGGTGAAGAAGACAGTTGAGGTCACATTTTAAACAGTATCACATTGCTTTATTGGGAGCTACATCTAACATCACGTATAATACTGTAACATCAGAAGTGATGGAAATTATGCAATGCTGTTGTTTCCGTTACAAACTTCCAGAAACCACTGAAGAAAAGGAACCACTTTCTGTCCATTTACAAACTGATACAGCCTAAAAGTCTTCAGTCAGTATAACCTAAAACTCCTTACACTGAAACTCAGATTTCACCTTTCCATTTCACCCAAAGTGCCGTTGATTATCTCTATTTCTTTTTTCCAAAGGTGAGTTAACTGGCGTTTAAGATGGCTTTGTAATTAGGTCATCATCTGCGACGAGTCAAAATTTCCTTCAGGCAAGGCATGTTTTGTCCTCTTCAGCAGATCAGGCAGAGTCATGTGGTACCCACTCAAAAGCTTACTGTGTAGTGCCCATAATGACATGGGGAAGCAGCAGTCCAGAGCCTGGCCACACAATCCTTGCTTCTCCAGTTTCCCAAGCAGCTGTGGGAGGTCTGCAGTCTGGGGGTTGGCTGGTTAGTCGGAAGCTGCAGATAGTGTGAACATTATGCAATAAGCTTCTGCGGCTACTACATGCTTCTCTGTCATAAGAATCCACTCACTGAATAGGCATTTTATTCATAATGCAAATTACTTAGCTATATTAGGGATGCTACAAATAGCTTCCAGTAGAGGAAAATGAATGTATTACACATACACACTTTGCATGCAATGTCAAATAAGACCCCTTGAACTAATTCTGCAATACAATTCTGCTAAAAATCACAATATTGCATGTAGAATCAAACATGCAGGGCCTGTTTTTCATTCTACCTTGTGGATGTCTAACTTGACTAGGAACCAGGTGGTTGCATTAATATATGGAATATTTGCCCCTAGGGCCTCTAGCTTATGTATATAAAGGGAGTGCAAGTTATATTTATACCACATACAATTCAAGGTGTTGTTGTTGTTTAGTCGTTTAGTCGTGTCCGACTCTTCATGACCCCATGGACCAGAGCACGCCAGGCACTCCTGTCTTCCACTGCCTCCCGCAGTTTGGTCAGACTCATGTTTGTAGCTTCGAGAACACTGTCCAACCATCTCGTCCTCTGTCGTCCCCTTCTCCTTGTGCCCTCCATCTTTCCCAGCATCAGGGTCTTTTCCAAGGAGTCTTCTCTTCTCATGAGGTGGCCAAAGTATTGGAGTCTCAGCTTCACGATCTGTCCTTCCAGTGAGCACTCAGGGCTGATTTCCTTAAGAATGGATACGTTTGATCTTCTTGCAGTCCATGGGACTCTCAAGAGTCTCCTCCAGCACCATAATTCAAAAGCATCAATTCTTCGGCGATCAGCCTTCTTTATGGTCCAATTCAAGGTACATACATTCAAATCCAACCTGAGATGTCCATTAAGCACATAAATGGAAAGGGAGCAGTGACTTTTACCTATAGCAAGTATATTGCAGAAGCTTGCAGCCACCTCATTTTGACATCTCTTAACCCCTTTTTTACTCCAATGCAGCTCCAGAGAACACCTGAAGAGAGTTGGCCAACCTGAGTGTCGGCCTCCTTGAGGTTTTAATGCCTAATTCAAACCCACTACCGTCAATGGGAATTGACAGAACAACTCAATGATCAAGAACAAACTTTAATGGGCTCTTAGGTGCACATTTAAAATATGTTGTTCTGCTGACATTTTTCACAGTACAGTGATACCTCGGGTTGCATATGCTTCGGGTTACATACGCTTCAGGTTACAGACTCCGCTAACCCAGAAATATTACCTCAGGTTAAGAACTTTGCTTCAGGATGAGAACAGAAATTGTGCTCCGGTGGCGCAGTGGCAGCGGGAGGGTCCATTAGCTAAAGTGGTGCTTCAGGTTAAGAACAGTTTCAGGTTAAGAATGGACCTCTGGAACGAATTAAGTACTTAACCTGAGGTACCACTGTAAATGAGTTAACACTTGCTGGTTTTGCTTCAGTCAAAATATTTTTTGTCAGGAATTCCTTCTTAAGAAAAAATATGGCAATACAGTGGTACCTCGGGTTACATATGCTTCAGGTTACAGACTCCGCTAACCCAGAAATAGTACCTCAGGTTAAGAACTTTGCTACAGGATGAGAACAGAAATCATGCAGCAGCGGCACAGTGGCAGCAGGAGGCCCCATTAGCTAAAGTGGTACCTCAGGTTAAGAACAGTTTCAGGTTAAGAACAGACCTCTGGAACGAATTAAGTACTCAACCCGAGGTACCACTGTAAATGTTTAAACTACCAGTATGTTACAGGCTAAACCCACTGCAGTTTTCCAAGTTTCACATTCTTAAGAAGGTTCAACAAACCCTTCAAAAATGTTTTTTTTAATTAAAAAAATTAATTAAAAAAAACATTTTCGTACTTCAAGATGTAGGTGGCGTTTCAGTATATGAGACACAAAGGCATATCCTTCATCAAGTTTCCCACACAGCCTTTTCATTTGCAAAGCCCTGGAGCTGCCACTGCCTTATGAAAACATGAGGAACTGATGGTGTATTGAGCTTATTTTAAAATCCCCCCACAGGTGAATTTCATACTGATATATGAAACTGAGACCAAGGCACGTACTACAGACACCATCTGGAGGCTGCTTCAGATCATTCCACATGGCAGCTGAGTTCATGCAGCAAGCAAAAAGAAGCTAAGACAACAAGGAGCTGTTATACAATCCAAACCAACGTCACATTAAGTAGAGAGGACCTGCGTACAGTTATAAAAGGAAGATTCTGCTGTGCCCTCACTGACAGGGACAGTGGCTCCTTTGGAACAAAGTGCCCAACCCTGATCTTCCCCATCATTTGTAGGGCTGGAAGATGATCACAAATGCCACCTGCCATGGAAGCAGAAGAAACTGTGGGGCACAGAGCGCCCCTGGTATCCAGAAACATCATGAGGCAAAATGTGGACAGTCAAAAAAGACAATCATGTGGGGGCAACTGGATGAGATATTGAGGTGCATGGAGGAATGGGGGCAGTGTGAGGTAGTCGCCAGAGAGTTGGACTAGGACCTGGAAGACCAAACTTCAAATCTCCACTCAAACCATAAAGTTCACTGGGCGACCGCAGGCCAGTTGCTGCGTCTAATCCTAACCTACCTTGGAGGGCTTAGTGAGGATAAAATGAGGAGGGGGGAAGAGCTTTGAGCTCCTTGAAGGAAAATGAAATACAATAAACAAACAAATAAATAAAATGTTAGCAGCTGTCATGGTCCCCCTGAAGCTTCCTCTTTGTTCGCAAAAATTTGTCTGAGAGTATGTTGAGGGTGCTACTCAAGCAGGCAATAGTAGTTGCTATGTCCCTTATTTGACAGATCCTCTAATCAGAGTATTTTCTAGAAGGAAAGCCTCAAGAGCTGTTTAGAAGTGTTTATTCTGAATATGACAGAAATAACTTTGGAAGGGCAACTATTCATCTTGGGCTTCCATCTCCTAGAGAGAAACACAAGGTCACTCAAATGTCAACATACTGCTGTAGTAAGGTTCAGACAGATGCCTGAAATTGCTGTAAGAAATGAAAAACAGTTTCACTCTTGCTTTTTTTTATTTTATTGTGGTGCTTTACTTTTAAATACTCTTAGCAGCCTGAAGAGACAATGACTGAGCTGACATACGGCATGTTCAAATTGTGTTACAGGCCAAACCCCTCTGTGCTAGGAGTTCAGCATCACTTATGCCAGCTCTGTGACAGAGGCTTGGTTTACTCTGTGTGCAAGGAAAAGGACAATCCAATGGGATAAGGATAAAAGGCGGGAGTGCAAAAGGAGGAGGGCAACCACAGAATCCTCACAATTATATGCAGCACCACACAGAGATGGAAGCGCTATTGCCATTTCTTAAACAGCAAGTGTTGCATGCCAACCCCTTCTAAGCAACTTGCCGCATTTGTATTTTGAGGAGAACAGAATACACTCTAAACTTTAGGACAGATTCACACACTGGCCTCCCACATTGCAGCAAGCAATATCCATAGGAATGTGACATTGTGTGTCAGAAGATCTGGTGTGTATTGTCTTGTGTAGATCCAATGAGCCAACTAGGCTACCTGGCAGGGGCCTAGCGCTGCTCTCTCACATGGGGAGAGGCAGTCTTTGAGGAGAAGATTCAAGCACTGTGCCTTCCACCTCATTTCCCCACTGGCCCCTTCATCTTGCCACCGCCTCCATCTGCTATGGGGCAAAACTGAAGTCCTACTTACTACCACAAGCACAGGAGGAGGAAAGGCAAAGGGACCAGTGAAAAACACAGGACAGGAAGCCCAGCAACTATTGTGCTTTCTTGTTACCATAGAGATTTTAAAGAGACAGACAACAAGAGTTCTGGGTTGACAGATAGCAATGCCAGCTGCAGTTCTATGTACAGGGGTTACTGCAGGCTTCCTCAACATCAGCCCTCCAGAAGTTTTTTTAGACTACAATTCCCATCATCCCTGACCACTGGTCCTGCTAGCTAGGGATCATGGGAGTTGTAGGCCAAAAACATCTGGAGGGCCGAGGTTGAGGAAGCCTGGGTACCACTACCAAGGAGTAACTACAGTTTAACAATGCCACACATGGTAACTACATCCTGGGTTAAATATAATGAAGAAGAAAAAAGTCGTGTGCTGAAAATCTGTCGAGAGTGCAGTGGATTGGAATAGGACAGCATGAGATTTAACGGTTTACTAGCCCAAGTCATGACAAAACTGAACTACAATCTGTAGAAAACAAAACACTGTTATAATGCTGGCATTACATGCTTCTTTATGGTTTAGCAGAGCACTATCATTTGAGCACAGTATGCCAGTGCAATTTATTCCACAGAGGTTCACTTCCCTAAGAAGCATACACACAGAACAATTTCAAAAAATCAGAGTGAGCTGTCAACAATCTCATTAGTTGGCTGCTTGAAATGCTGACTGCAGGGCCTGTTCCTTGAATTGTTATATACATTCTATAAATACCAAAGTCTTGTTTGGTATGTATTCAGCATTTGTCAGCTGGGATTAATATACAGAATTTTGGACTTGTAAAGCAGGAGTGGGGAGCAGCTGTCTCTCTTCCTTCACCATTCCTGGTACTAACATTTGAACAAGCAAAAACTCTGGCCTTTAGCAGCACTCCTTTCTGAGAGCTGTGCAGCAAACAGGACCGAAATGTCAACATGCCAGCTCATCTTTGCTTTTCTCACAGAAAGCGCTGCCAATGAATGGAAAGATTTGTTCAACGTTAAGGGCCTTGCATCAAAGTAACTTGCTTTATCAATTCTGAGGAGATACAAAAATTAATGGCAAACCCCCAAAGATACACACGATTATTCCAGCCTCTTTCCTCATAAATTTATTGATTTGTAATTAGCATTTTCCATCAAGGGAAATCACTCCTGCAGGGACACATAACTACTGAGTAGAAAAGCAATAGCAAAAGCTAGGGTACAGGACATTTGCGGGCTTAGAGAAAAGGCATACATTTTTTCTTCCCACTCTCACCTGCAGGAGGAGAACTACATGAGGGGTTCACTGCCAAGCTGGTCTAAAACCAGGTTTCAATGGCTGCAAAAAGAAGGTGGGAAAACAGCAAAGGCTGAAAACACCTGATAATGTGGGCTGCAAGTTCCCCAAGTCTCCACCACAGATTTAGAGAGAGTGCCATGGACACAGGAAAAAGTGAATGCAGTACACCCAAAAAACAAATGAAAGCATTCCTAAGAGCATGTGGAATACAACAGACTAAAAACAAAGAACTAAATCCTTGGCTCACGGACAAGAGTTAGATGACCGATCCAATATACACAGCAAGAAGTGGAGGATTATCAAATTTGTGAAAATGGATTATTCCTGAAAGAACATTTGAGTGCTTTCTCCAGGGTCAAATGAGCCAAAGTATTATTTTCCATGATTTCCCTAGGCTAGTCTATATTGAACAGCTTCAGTACAGATCCTTTACATTTGCATAGCTGGCTTAAGTTAGGCTTAAGTGCAGTCCTAACCATCTCTACTCAGAAGCCCAAGTTAAGTTAAGGTTGCAGCCTTATTTTCCTCATGGAAGCTTCCCTACTAAGTCAAATAGCAGGAGAAGAGGCACCCAGTTTGAAATAGGGGCTAAGTGTTAAAACAACATGCACACCTGTGGCTGTTTATTCTTTCTTTCTGAGAATACATCAGTAAATTGTTATAAACATCACTTCTAGTTTGGTCCATAAGCATGTAGAATTTCCGTGTCAGCTCAAAACTTATCTATTTGCCCAGGCATTTTAAAGTTGGCATTTTAGAATGCTCTAATTATTTTTAGTTGCAACTAATTGGTCCCCCCCCCCCCGCTTTATTATACTTGTACTGTACTACAAACATTCTTTGTGGAATGTTTAATTTCATCCATGCCTATTGTGCACCAGCCTGGTATCTGCATGGATAAAGAGCAGTCTAGAAATGCTTTTAATAATAATGAAAAAGAAAATTAGAAACCCAAAAATAAAAATACAAAAAGCCATGAGGGGGATTGTAAATATTTTTTTTAAAAAACCACACACATGTTTTTTAAAAATACTATAGGCAGAAAACCATTTTCTAGGTTCTTCTACAAGCTAAAATGACACACATTTCACAGCTGCCACTTGGATAGCAGAACTCTTCAACAGGGGGAAGATATTGTATCCCAAAACTCTATGTGGCAAGAAACACACCTGGAAGTGATTCCCACTCAAATGGGGATACCAGATGGCATTCAGTAATGTCTGCTCACTTGCACAATGGAAATCTGCTTGAAAAATGGGGCTTCAGGATTGTCATCTCTCCTCTTTTGCAGCTCCCCCCCCCCCCGCATGCCTCACCCCAGAGGATCACCCAGCGCAAATGAAGGGTATGTGGATAGCTGTAGAGGGAGAAGAAAAAAAGCCCTGTTGAACATGTGGGTGCCTACTGATGCTACAGTGAATGTCACCTATTTAGCTAGAAACAGAAGGTATCGATCAAACTGCTTTGGGCTGGATTCTCCTCATCTGGATTGTGAAGATTCCATAACATCTGGACAGGAATGTGAAGCGATTCCTTGACACCAGAATGGGGAAAGAGTGAGAAGTTTTCACAAACTAGGTACACCACAGTTGTACCTGAAGTTTACATAGTCCAAAGCCCTTCATGGTTACCCACAAACCAGATATAAGGGAAGTGAGGGAATGGTAATGTGAATGAACATCACATAGAAGCAGCTGTGCTTCTTGGGTTACACCAATTCTTATTCAGATAATGTTGCGAAGCCTGAGAACAACAAAGACAGAACGAATGTGCTAACTATACATACCCAAACCTACTTAAATGATCAAAGCTCAATGGAAGTACAATAAGGACTAGAGCAGTGCCACAACACATTTGTAGAGTGATACATCATAGGATTGTACTCTGTTTGTTGAAGCCTGCTTTTAGAATACAGCTTCAAACAGAATACATGTTTTTTTCTGTTTAGGGCTAGATTAAGATATTATATTTTGACAGTCTCACAAATCTTCTGTCTATAAAGTTTGTGCATTGCTGAGATGGAGGAAGCAATTTTTTTTCATATACTGTAATGTGAATTCATTTATTTTACTCCCAGTTGGGGCATTTTCAACATTGCTTCTGATGTACAGTGTCAAGTTTTAGAGGCTTCTCCTGCAAAGGAGAAAAATGTTATTATTTTGAACAGCCACTGTTTGTTTGAGTCTTCAGAGAAGGTTCTAATTTGTGGCTGCCAGGGCTCAGCAAAAGAAATCTCTTTTCAATCCTTGAGTTAAATCACAGGACATATGAAACAATAATACTGTACATAGAAGTAATTCGGAACATGTTCAGAATGATATAACCTTTGCACTGAGTGACCACAGTCTGTCCCCAAACACTTTAAGGAATGTGTCTTCAAGGACAGATAGCATGGCTTTAGGCAGACTCGAAACACTCTTTCTCATCCCATCCTCTCTGACAGGAGCATATATCTGTATCTACACAGGAAGTTACAGATACAGTATATGTTTTGCAAGCATCCAAACAGAAAACCAATGCTTTAATCATAGAGCCTTCCAGAAATAAACACACAAAGCTTAAATCAGCTTTGTTTTAAATTTGTTCCAGAGTGATTGTGAAACATACACTGAACTAGAACATACATTTGCTTTTCCTTCCAAATTCTCTCCCACATTAATGGAATTCAGACTCAACACAAATGCTCCTCTTCTCATATCACTGCTGCTCTTTCTCAGTATCAATATACTGGGAATCCAACTTCAAGACCAAAAAATCCCCTTTAATTTTAACTTTGGTCTTTATCTCACTAAAACTGCAAGTCAATTGTTACTTTAAGAATACATTCATTTTATGAACTAATAATAATCTTTTATGTTCTATTTTAAAACCCCATTCTGGAATACAGTTCCAATTTGTGCTATGCTCCCAGGTAGCACCTGCCCACATCTCACCAAGTTTCTTTTACACAATACAAATCTGGGGGGAATTCAAATTGTCAGAAGGATGGCCTGATGTTTGTGGAATTCCATAATAATATGGAAGTGATAAGTAGAGTGGAATGTTCTAAGAACCATGCCCTGTCTTGCCACCAGAAGTATTAACACTGTGTAAATCTTAATTAGGATTGTGATTTGCATGAAGTTTAATACTTTGCAATTTGTACATCACATTGCATTTAAATCAGGGTGTATTTGGGGTTCTGCTGTCAGACTAAATCCCTTTGGTATTGCTGAAAAACAAACTCACCATCAATTCATTGCTTCCTTTTTAATACTAATTACTACATACGGTACATAGTATTCATTCATTTGTAATCACACACCTGTATTTTAAAAAGTCATTGTGTTAATTTCATTGTAGTCGTATTTATTTGCATTTAATTCCTTTATACTGCCCACTCGCATAAATATCAAGGCATTGCACAGCATAAAATACTGCAAAACAATACAAAATAATCACAATAACCATATGGCTTTTCTAAAACAGGTAATTGAACTGACTAGGCCTGCCAGCATTATTCCAGCAGTGTTTTGTACAGGAAGAAAAAACACACCACATGAATTCCAAAAACCCATTATGCCATTTATTGTATTGTTAAGCACTAGATGATAGGGGTAGGCAGCAGCTAGTGTCTGCTCTGGATTCCTATTATCTTCTAAATAATATTCAAGATGTTGACCTTGAATTATAAAAAACTAAAACAGAGAACTTTACAAACATATGAGGTAGGATATGAGAAGCCATTTTTGGAGACTGATCCAAACACACAGACACACACAAAAAACCACTTTTTCTTTCTTTGGAGACTCTCGACATCCTGAGCTAGAAACCAGCATTCAACAATACAGCACCTTTCTTTACTTCCTGAGTTAGCAGTGCATCACAACAGCATCATTAGTTCTATGAAGTATCTATTTCCCCCCCTCCCATATTCCCATGACTTCCATTGTTCTGTCTAAATCTATTTTTTCCTGCAGATAACAATAATTGCTCTGGTTGCTTACAACGGAGGCAGTAGAAATGATTTAAATTATACAAAGATGTAACAAAGGAGAGATGCTACATGGCTTTGTGGGCAGCTGGAAGTTATTTATCGAAACATGTATTTTGTTCAGAAATTCCTGCCATTTTTTGTAAACAGGTGTTGTGTTTTTTTGAAGAGGTGTGTCTTTCAGGATGACAATAATATTAAAAAGGAATGAACCCTACCTAGTGTCAATATATCCAAGAATTGGATAAGTGACCTGGGTGGGCCTGACCTATCTCAGCTGTGTGCACCTGGGTAGTCAGTACAGCACCAGGCTAGACTGGAGGATGAAGGAGGGTGTTGTCCATTGAAATACTGTCTCATGTACCAGAAATCCTTGGAGTGGGCTTAAAAAACTCTGTACCTGTATTGGGCCAGAGAGAGAGAGATTGAGGGTGCTGCTGGCCTATTGGTCATTCTGTTGCCCAACAGCATCCTTGACCAAGCTAGTCTCTGGCATGGTGGAGGACAATAGTTCTTCAATATCCATGAGAGTGCTGCTGTTGGGCTGGAACAGGACTTCATGGGTGATCCCCGCCCGGTAATGCAGTATGCAAAATTTAGCATGGTTCTGTGGTGGAATCGGATAGTGTTCTGAGTGAGTTCAATACAGCTAGTGGAATTTGTGGTGGCAGATGCCACCGGAAAAAGTGC